TCCCAAATTCCCATTTTTCCCCCAAATTCCCATCTTTCCGGGAATTCTCTCCTCAAATCCCATTTTTTCATCGCCAAACCCCATTTGATTCAGGTTTTTCCCTAAAAAAATCCCATTTTTCTGTCCCAAAATCCCATTTTTTCTCCCAAAAATCCCATTTTTTTCCCCAAAAATCCCATTTTTTTTTCCCAAAATCCCCGTTTTTTTCCCAAAATCCCATTTTTTGCCGTGTTCCCCACCTGATCATGTCGGGGTCACCACCAGCTGCTCCAGCAGCCCCCGAGTCTCTTTGGACCTCCCTGACTGCACAAAAATCCCATTTTTCCCCAAAAATCCCATTTTTTCCTCCCAAATTCCCATTTTTGGGGAATTCTCTCCTCAAATCCGATTTTTGAATTTCAACCACAATTTGGTTCCGTCTTTTTCCCCAAAAAAATCCCATTTTTTGCTTCCAAAATCCCTTTTTTTCTCCCAAAAAACTCATTTTTTCCCCCAAAAATCCCATTTTTTCTCCCAAAATCCCCATTTTTTTCCGCAAAATCCCCGTTTTTTTTCCCAAATTTCCCGTTTCCCCACCTGATCATGTCGGGGTCACCACCAGCTGCTCCAGCAGCCCCCAGCCCTGGCTGCAGAAAAATCCCATTTTTTTCTCCAAAAATCCCATTTTTTCTCCCAGAATCTCCATTTTTTTTCCCCAAAATCCCATTTTTTTTCCCCAAATCCCCATTTCCCACCTGATCATGTCGGGGGGCACCATCAGCTGCTCCAGCAGCCCCCAGCCCTGGCTGCAGAAAAATCCCATTTTTTTCTCCCAAAAATCCCATTTTCCCCCAAACACCATTTTTCTGGGAATTCTCTCCTCAAATCCCATTTTCAATTTCAAGCCCCATTTGTGTCAGGTTTTTTCCCCCAAAAATCCCATTTTTTGCTCCCAAAACTGCATTTTTTGGTCCCGAAATCCCATTTTTTCTCCCAAAAATCTCATTTTTTCTCCCAAAATCCCCGTTTTTTTCCCAAAATCCCCGTTTTTTTTCCCAAAATCCCCATTTTCCCACCTGATCATGTCGGGGGTCACCACCAGCTGCTCCAGCAGCCCCCCGAGTCTCTTTGGACCTCCCTGACTGTACTAAAACCCCATTTTTCTCCCAAAATTCCCATTTTTCCCCACAAATTCCCATTTTTTGGGAATTCTCTCCTCAAATCCAATTTTTGAATTTCAACCACCGTTTGGTTCCATCTTTTTCCCCCAAAAAAATCCCATTTTTTGCTCCCAAAATCGCATTTTTTCCCCAAAAAATCTCATTTTTTCCTCCAAAAATCCCATTTTTTCCCCAAATTCCCATTTTTTCCCCAAACACCATTTTTTGCGCATTCTCTCCTCAAATCGTATTTTTTAATTTCAACCACCATTTTCTTCAGGTTTTTTCCCCAAAAAATCCAATTTTTTGCTCCCAAAATCCCATTTTTTCTCCAAAAATCCCATTTTTTCCCCAAAATTCAATTTTTTTCCCCCAAATTCCCATTTCTTTGGGAATTCTCTCCTCAAATCCCATTTTTCAATTTCAAACCCCATTTACATCAGGTTTTTTCCCCCAAAAAATCCCATTTTTTGGTCTCAAAACCCCATTTTTTGCTCAAAAAATCCCATTTTTTGCTCCCAAAATTCCATTTTTTTCTCTAAAAATCTCATTTTTTTTCCCAAAACCCCCATTTTTTCTCCCAAAATCCCCATTTTTTTTCCCAAAATCCCCGTTTTTCCCCCCAAATTTCCCATTTTCCCACCTGACCATGTCGGGGTCACCACCAGCTGCTCCAGCAGCCCCCCGAGTCTCTCCCAGACCTCCCTGACTGTACAAAAATCCTTTTTTTCTCCAAAAATCCCATTTTTCACCCCAAAATCCCATTTTTTTCTCCCAAAATCCCATTTTTCTGGGAATTCTCTCCTCAAATCCCATTTTCAATTTCAAACCCCATTTACAATCAGGTTTTTGCCCCCAAAAAATCCCATTTTTTGCTCCCAAAATCCCATTTTTTTCTCCAAAAATCTCATTTTTTCTCCAAAAAATCCCATTTTTTGGTCTCAAAATCCCATTTTTTCTCCCAAAATTCCCATTTTTTTTCCCAAAATCCCAATTTTTTTTCCCAAATTTCCCATTTCCCACCTGATCATGTCGGGGGCACCACCAGCTGCTCCAGCAGCCCCCGAGTCTCTCTGGACCTCCCTGACTGCACAAAAATCCCATTTTTCTCCCCAAAATCACGTTTTTTCTCCCAAATTCCCATTTTCTGGGAATTCTCTCCTCAAATCCGATTTTTGAATTTCAACCACCGCTTGGTCCCGTCTTTTTCCCAAAAAAAATCCCATTTTTTGCTCCCAAAATCGCATTTTTTGCTCCCAAAATCGCATTTTTTTCTCCAAAAATCCCATTTCTTCTCCCAAAAATCCCATTTTTTCTCCCAGAATCTCCATTTTTTTTCCCAAAATCCCATTTTTCCCCCAAATTTCCCATTTCCCACCTGATCATGTCGGGGTCACCACCAGCTGCTCCAGCAGCCCCCCGAGTCTCTTTGGACCTCCCTGACTGCACAAAAATCCTTTTTTTCTCCAAAATCCCATTTTTCTCCCCAAAAATCCCATTTTTTCCCCAAATTCCCATTTTTTGGGAATTCTCTCCTCAAATCCCATTTTCAATTTCAAACCCCATTTACATCAGGTTTTTTCCCCAAAAAAATCCCATTTTTTGGTCTCAAAATTCCATTTTTTCCCCAAAAAAACTCATTTTTTCTCCAAGAATATCCGTTTTTTTCCCCCAAATCCCCATTTTTTTTCCCAAAATCCCAATTTTTTTTCCCAAATTTCCCACCTGATCATGTCGGGGGGCACCACCAGCTGCTCCAGCAGCCCCAGCCCTGGCTGCAGAAAAATCCCATTTTTTGCTCCCAAAATTCCATTTTTTTCTCTAAAAATCTCATTTTTTCTCACAGAATCTCCGTTTTTTTCCCAAAATCCCCGTTTTTCCCCCCAAAATTCCCATTTTCCCACCTGATCATGTCGGGGGCACCACCAGCTGCTCCAGCAGCCCCCAGCCCTGGCTGCAGAAAAAGCCCATTTTTTAATCCCCAAATCCCATTTTTTTTACCCCAAAATCCCATTTTTTGGGGAATTCTCTCCTCAAACCCCATTTCCTGTTCCCAATCCCATTTTTTCATCCCCAAACCCCATTTGATTCAGGTTTTTTTCTCCCAAAAATCCCATTTTTTGCTCCCAAAATCCCTTTTTTTCTCCCAAAAATCCCATTTTTTCTCCCAGAATCTCCGTTTTTTTTCCCAAAATCCCCGTTTTTTTCCCAAAATCCCCATTTTTTCCCCCAAAATCCCATTTTTTGCTCTTTTCCCACATGATCATGTCGGGGTCACCAAAGCTCATCCAGCAGCCCCCCCCAGGCACCCCCTGGCTGCAGAAAAATCCCATTTTTTTCTCCAAAAATCCAATTTCTTTCTCCACAAATTCCCATTTTTTGGGAATTTTCTCCTCAAATCCCATTTTCAATTTCAAACTCCATTTACATCAGGTTTTTTCCCCAAAAAAATCCCATTTTTTGGTCTCAAAATCCCATTTTTTCCCCAAAAAAACTCATTTTTTCTCCCAAAAATCCCATTTTTTTCTCCCAAAATTCCCATTTTTTCTCCAAAATTCCCATTTTTTTTCCCAAAATTCCAATTTTTTTTCCCAAAATCCCCATTTTCCCCACCTGATCATGTCGGGGTCACCACCAGCTGCTCCAGCAGCCCCCGATTCTCTTTGGACCTCCCTGACTGTACAAAACCCCATTTTTCTCCCCAAAATCCCATTTTTCTCCCCAAAATCCCATTTTTTTCTCCAAAATTCCCATTTTTTGGGAATTCTCTCCTCAAATCCCATTTTGAATTTCAACCACCATTTGTTTCACGTTTTTTCCCCAAAAAATCCCATTTTTCTGTCCCAAAATCCCATTTTTTGCTCCAAAAACCCCATTTTTTTTCCCCCAAAATCCCATTTTTTCTCCCAGAATCTCCGTTTTTTTTCCCAAAATCCTCATTTTTCCCCCCAAAATCCCATTTTTTGCTCTTTTCCCACCTGATCATGTCGGGGTCACCACCAGCTGCTCCAGCAGCCCCTCGAGTCTCTCTGGACCTCCCTGACTGCACAAAAATCCCCTTTTTTTCCCCAAAAATCCCATTTTTCTCCCCAAAAAACCCATTTTTTCTCCCATATTCCCATTTTTCCGGGAATTCTCTCCTCAAATCCCATTTTCAATTTCAAACCCCATTTGCTTCAGGTTTTTTCCCCAAAAAAATCCCATTTTCCTGTCCTAAAACCCTATTTTTTGCTCCAAAAATCCCATTTTTTTCTCCCAAAAATCCCATTTTTTCCTCCAAAAATCCCATTTTTTTCCCAAAATCCCCATTTTTTTCCAAGATCCCATTTTTTACTCTTTTCCCACCTGATCACATCGGGGTCACCACCAGCTGCTCCAGGAGCCCCTCGAGACTCTTTGGACCTCCCTGACTGCAGAAAAATCCCATTTTTTTCTCCAAAAATCCCATTTTTCTCTCCCAAATTCCCTTTTTTTTGGGAATTCTCTCCTCAAATCTCATTTTCAATTTCAAACCCCATTTGTGTCAGGTTTTTCCCCCCAAAAAATCCCATTTTTTGGTCTCAAAATCCCATTTTTTGCTCCAAAAAACTCATTTTTTCCCCCAAAATTCCCATTTTTTCTCCCAAAATCCCCGTTTTTTTTCCCAAAATCCCATTTTTTTTCCCAAATTTCCCATTTTTCCCCCCAAATCCCATTTTCCCACCTGATCATGTCGGGGTCACCACCAGCTGCTCCAGCAGCCCCCAGCCCTGGCTGCAGAAAAAGCCCATTTTTTGCTCCAAAAATCCAATTTTTTCTCCCAGAATCTCCATTTTTTTTCCCAAAATCCCAATTTTTTTTCCCAAATTTCCCATTTCCCACCTGATCATGTCGGGGGGCACCACCAGCTGCTCCAGCAGCCCCCCGAGTCTCTCGCGGACGCGGCGCCGGTTCTGCAGCCGCAGGTTCATGGCCCCGGCCTGGCCCTGCAGCGCCCGGATCTCCCCGCTCAGCGAGCTCAGCGAGCTCTGGAACGCGCCCAGCATCGCCTCCATGCGCTGCGGAACATTTGGGGACAATTTGGGACAATTTGGGACATTTAGAAATTTTTTGGGGTTTTTTTCCCGGGGTTTTGGGGCTTTTTTTGGCCATTTTAGGGCATTTTTTGGCAATTTTAGGGCATTTTTTGACCAATTTTACGGCATTTTTTAGGAGTTTTAGGAGCGATTTTTGGGGCGTTTTGTGGCTTTTTTCGGGGGTTTTAGGGACATTTGGGGACATTTAGGGACATTTGGGGACATTTAGGGACAATTTGGGATTTTTTTCCCGGGGTTTTGGGGCTTTTTTTGGCAATTTTATGGCATTTTTTGGGGGTTTTAGGAGTGATTTCTTTAGCATTTTGTCATTTTTTTAGGGGAGTTTGGGGACATTTATGGACAATTTGGGGACATTTAGAGACATTTGGGGACATTTATGGACCATTTGGGGACATTTGGGGACAATTTGGGCTTTTTTTCCCCGGGGTTTTGGGGCTTATTTTGGCCATTTTAGGGCTTTTTTTGGCCATTTTATGGCATTTTTTAAGGATGTTAGGAGCGATTTTTTTGGCATTTTGTGGCTTTTTTATGGGACAATTTGGGGACATTTAGGGACAATTTGGAGACAGTCAGAGACATTTGGGGACATTTAGGGACAATTTGGGGATTTTTTTCCCGGGGTTTTGGGGCTTTTTTTGGCCATTTTATGGCATTTTTTAGCCAATTTTAAGGTATTTTTTAGAGGTTTTCCGAGCCATTTTTTTGCCATTTTGTGGCTTTTTTATGGGACAATTTGGGGACATTTATGGACCATTTGGGGACATTTTGGGGACACTTTGGGGACATTTTGGGGACATTTGGGGCCGTTTTGGGGCTGGGATCTCCCAGCTCAGCGAGCTCTGGAACGCGCCCAGCATCGCCTCCATGCGCTGCGGACACACAGGGACAATTGGGGATTTTTTGGATTTTTTGGGATTTTTTTCCCGGGGTTTTAGGGCTTTTTTTGGCCATTTTAGGGCATTTTTTGGCCATTTTAGGGCATTTTTTTTTGAATTTTTAAGCATTTTTTAGTGGTTTTATGAGTATTTTCACGGGATGTCGTGGCTTTTTTAGGGGCTTTTATGGACAATTTGGGGACATTTAGGGACATTTGGGGACATTTAGGGACAATTTGGGGACAATTTGGGATTTTTTTCCCGGGGTTTTGGGGCTTTTTTTGGCAATTTTAAGGCATTTTTTAGGGGTTTTAGGAGCGATTTTTGGGGCGCCTTGTGGCTTTTTTAGGGGAGTTTGGGGACATTCAGGGACACTTTGGGGACATTTATGGACAATTTGGGACATTTATGGACCATTTGGGGACATTTATGGACCATTTGGGGACATTTATGGACAATTTGGGGACATTTGGGGACATTTGGGGACAATTTGGGGACATTTGGGGCCGTTTTGGGGCTGGGATCTCCCAGCTCAGCGAGCTCTGGAACGCGCCCAGCATCGCCTCCATGCGCTGCAAACAGTTTGGGGACATTTCGGGACAATTTGGGGACAATTTGGGGTTTTTTGGGATTTTTTCCCCAGTGTTTTGGGGCTTTTTTTGGCCATTTTAGGGCATTTTTTGGGAATTTTAAGGCATTTTTTGGCCAATTTTAAGGCATTTTTTAGGGGTTTTACGAGCCATTTTTTTGGCATTTTGTGGCTTTTTTATGGGACAATTTGAGGACCTTTATGGACAATTTGGGGACATTTAGGGACAATTTGGGGATTTTTGGGATTTTTTTCCTGGGGTTTTGGGGCTTTTTTTGGCCATTTTAGGGCATTTTTTGGCCATTTTAGGGCATTTTTTGGCCAATTTTAAGGCATTTTTTAGGGGTTTTAGGAGCAATTTTTTTTGGCATTTTGTGGCTTCTTTATAGGAGTTTAAGGACATTTATGGACAATTGGGGACATTGGGGGACAATTTGGGGACATTTAGAAATTTTTTGGGATTTTTTTCCTGGGGTTTTGGGGCTTTTTTTGGCCATTTTAGGGCTTTTTTTGGCCAATTTTAAGGCATTTTTTTAGTGGTTTTGCGAGTATTTTTGGGGTGTCGTGGCTTTTTTAGGGGGTTTTAGGGATATTTGGGTACATTTAGGGACAATTTGGGATTTTTTGGGATTTTTTTCCTGGGCTTTTGGGGCTTTTTTTGGCCATTTTATGGCATTTTTTGGCCAATTTTAAGGCATTTTTTAGAGGTTTTACGAGCCATTTTTTTGCCATTTTGTGGCTTTTCTATGGGACAATTTGGGGACATTTATGGACAATTTGGGGACATTTAAGGACATTTGGGGACATTTAGGCACAATTTGGGGACATTCAGGGGCACTTAAGGGACACTCTGGGGACATTTGGGGCCGTTTTGGGGCTGGGATCTCCCAGCTCAGCGAGCTCTGGAACGCGCCCAGCATCGCCTCCATGCGCTGGGGACACATGGGGACATTTGGGGACAATTTAGGGACATTTTGGGTTTTTTCCCCGGTGTTTTGGGGCTTTTTTTGGCCATTTTAGGGCTTTTTTTGGCCATTTTATGGCATTTTTGGGCCATTTTATGGCATTTTTTGGCCAATTTTAAGGCATTTTTTAAGGGTTTTAGGAGCGATTTTTAGGGCGTTTGGTGGCTTTTTTAGGGGAGTTTGGGGACATTTATGGACAATTGGGGACATTTTGGGACAATTTGGGGACATTTAGGGACAATTTGGGATTTTTTTCCCGGGGTTTTGGGGCTTTTTTTGGCAATTTTAGGGCATTTTTTTGGCCAATTTTAGGGCATTTTTTAGGGGTTTTAGGAGCGATTTTTTGGGCATTTTGTGGCTTCTTTATAGGAGTTTGAGGACATTTATGGACAATTTGAGGATTTTTGGGGAATTTTTGGGATTTTTTTCCTGGGGTTTTGGGGCTTTTTTTGGCCATTTTAGGGCTTTTTTTGGCCAATTTTAAGGCATTTTTTAGGTGTTTTAGGAGCGATTTTTTTTGGCATTTTGTGGCTTTTTTATGGGAGTTTGGGGACATCTTTGGACAATTTGGGGACATTGGGGGACAATTTGGGGACATTTGGGGACACTTTGGGGACATTTAATGACAATTGGGGACATTTAGGCACAATTTGGGGACATTTGGTGACACCTGGTGACACTTTGGGGACAATTGAGGCCACTCAGGGGCCATTGGGGCCACTCTGGGGCCATTTTAGTGACATTTGGTGACACCTGAGGACACCTGGGGACACTTTGAGGACACCTGGGGACATTTGGTGACACCTGGGGACACTCTGGGGACAATTGAGGCCACTCTGGGGCCATTTGGGGCCATTTTAGTGACATTTGGTGACACCTGAGGACACTTGGGGACACTTTGAGGACACCTGGGGACATTTGGGGCCATTTTGGGGCCATTTGGTGACACCTGGGGACACTTTGGGGACAATTGAGGCCACTCAGGGGCCCTTTGGGGCCATTTGGTGCCATTTGGGGCCACTTGGGACCATTTTGGGCTTCCTTGGTGACATTTTGGGGCCACTTGGGGCCATTTGGGGACACCTGGGGACACTATGGGGACAATTGAGGCCACTCTGGGGCCATTTGGGACCATTTTGGGGCCATGTGGTGGCACCTGGTGACACTTGGGGACAATTGAGGACGCTCAGGTGCCACTTGGGGCCATTTGGTGCCATTTTGGTGCCACTTGGGGCCATTTTGGGGCCATTTGGTGACACCTGGGGACATTTGGTGACACCTGGGGACATTTGGTGCCATTTTGGCCTTCCTTGGTGACATTTTCATGCCACTTGGGGACATTTTGGTGACACTTGGGGACAATTGAGGCCACTCAGGGGCTATTTGGGGCCATTTTGGGGCCATTTGGGGACACCTGGTGACACCTGGGGACATCTGGGGCCATTTTGGTGCCACTTGGGGCCATTTTGGTGCCACTTGGGGCCATTCGGGGACACCTGGGGACACTTTGGGGACAATTGAGGCCACTCAGGTACCACTTGGGGCCATTTGGTGCCATTTTGATGCCACTTGGGGCCATTTTGGGGCCATTTTTGTGGCACTTGGTGACACTTGAGGACACTTTGAGGACACCTGGAGACATTTGGGGCCATTTTGGGGCCATCTGGTGGCACCTGGTGACATTCTGGGGACAATTGAGGCCACTCAGGGGCCATTTTGGGGCCATTGTAGTGACATTTGGTGACACCTGAGGACACTTGGGGACACTTTGAGGACACCTGGGGCCATTTTGGTGCCACTTGGGGCCATTTTGGTGCCACTTGGGGACATTTTGGGGCCACTTGGGGCCATTTGGTGACACCTGGTGACACCTGGGGCCACTTGGTGCCATTTTGGGCTTCCTTGGTGACATTTTGGTGCCACTTGGGGACATTTTGGTGCCACTTGGGGACAATTGAGGCCACTCTGGGGCCATTTGGGGCCATTTTAGTGACATTTGGTGACACCTGAGGACACTTGGGGACATTTGGGGACACCTGGGGACATTTGGGGCCATTTTGGTGCCATTTGGGGACACCTGGGGACACTCTGGGGACAATTGAGGCCACGCAGGTGCCACTTGGGACCATTTGGTGCCATTTTGGTGCCACTTGGGGACATTTTGGTGCCACTTGGGGCCATTTGGGGACACCTGGTGACACTTTGGGGACAATTGAGGCCACTCTGGGGCCATTTTGGGGCCATTTTAGTGACATTTGGTGACACCTGGTGACCCTTGGGGACATTTGGGGACACCTGGGGCCATTTGGGGCCATTTTGGGGCCATTTTGGTGCCATTTGGTGGCACCTGGGGACACTTGGGGACAACTGAGGCCATTCAGGGGCCACTTGGGGCCATTTTGGTGCCACTTGGGGCCATTTTGGTGCCACCTGGTGACACCTGGTGACCCTTGGGGACATTTGGTGACACCCGGGGACACTTTGGGGACAATTGAGGCCACTCAGGTACCACTTGGGACCACTTTGGGGCCATTTTAGTGCCACTTGGTGACACTTGGGGACATTGGAGGACACCTGGGGACATTTGGGGCCATTTTGGTGCCATTTGGTGGCACCTGGGGCCATTTTGAGGCCACTTGGGGACATTTTGGGGCTATTTGGTGACACTTTGGGGACAATTGAGGCCACTCTGGGGCCATTTGGGGCCATTTTAGTGCCACTTGGTGACACTTGGGGACATTTGAGGACACCTGGGGACATTTGGGGCCATTTTGGTGCCATTTGGTGGCACCTGGGGACATTTTGGTGCCACTTGGGGACATTTTGGGGCTATTTGGTGACACTTTGGGGACAATTGAGGCCACTCTGGGGCCATTTTGGGGCCATTTTTGTGGCACTTGGTGACACTTGGAGGACACCTGGGGACATTTGGGGCCACTTGGGGCCATTTGGGGACACCTGGGGACACTTGGGGACAATTGAGGACGCTCAGGTGCCACTTGGGGCCATTTGGTGCCATTTTGGTGCCAATTTGGGCTATTTTGGGGCATTTGGTGACACCTGGGGACACCTGGGGACATTTGGGGCCATTTTGGGCTTCCTTGGTGACATTTTGGTGCCACTTGGGGCCATTTTGGTGAGACTTGGTGACATTTTGGGGACACTTGGGGCCATTTTGGGGACACTTGGGGACATTTGGTGACACCTGGAGACACTTTGGGGACATTTGGGGACACCTGGGGACACTTTGAGGACATCTGGGGTCATTTGAGGACACCTGGAGACACTCTGGGGACAATTGAGGCCACTCTGGGGCCCTTTTGGGGCCATTTTAGTGACATTTGGTGACACCTGAGGACACTTGGGGACACTTTGAGGAGACCTGGGGACATTTGGTGACACCTGGGGACACTTTGGGGACAATTGAGGCCACTCAGGTGCCATTTGGGGCCATTTGGGACCATTTTGGTGCCATTTGGGGCCATTTTGGGGCCATTTTGGTGCCATTTGGTGACACCTGGTGACACTTGGGGACAATTGGTGGCACCTGGGGCCATTTTGGTGCCACTTGGGGCCATTTGGTGACACCTGGGGACACTTGGGGACAATTGAGGCCACTCAGGTGCCACTTGGGACCATTTTGGGGCCATTTTAGTGCCACTTGGTGACACTTGGGGACACTTTGAGGACATCTGGGGACATTTGGGGCCACTTGGGGCCATTTGGGGACACCTGGGGACACTCTGGGGACAATTGAGGCCACTCAGGCGCCACTTGGGGCCATTTGGTGCCATTTTGATGCCACTTGGGGCCATTTTGGGGCCATTTTTGTGGCACTTGGTGACACTTGAGGACACTTTGAGGACACCTGGGGACATTTGGGGCCATTTTGGGGCCATTTGGGGCCATTTTGGTGCCACTTGGTGCCACCTGGTGACACTTTGGTGACACTTGGTGACCCCTGCTGACCCCTGGTAACCCCTGGTGACCCTTGGGGACATCTGGGGACATTTGGGGACATTTGGGGACATCTGGGGACACTTGGGGGACACTTGGGGACATTTGGGGACATTGCTGACCTCGAGGATGGCGTCGCAGGCGCTGATCTGGTTGTGCAGCTCCGCGATGTTCTCACTCTCCCGGATGTCTGAGCCGTCAAGGGACATTGGGGACACTCGGGGACACTTGGGGACACTTGGGGACACTCGGGGACAATTTTTTGGGGACAATTTTTGGGGATTTGGGGACATTTTGGGGCATTTTGAGGCGGTTTTGAGGCATTTTTGGGTGTTTGGTGACACTTTGGGGACATCAGGGACACTTGGGGACATCAGGGACACCTTGGGGACACTTGGGGACATTTGGGGACACTTGGGGATACTTGGGGACACCTTGGGGACACTCGGGGACACTTAGGGACAGTTTTTGGGGACAATTTTTGGGGATTTTGGGCTGTTTTGGGGCATTTTGAGGCTGTTTTGTGGCATTTTTGGGTGTCTGGTGACACTTTGGGGACACTGGAACACCCATGGGACACTTGGGGACACTCTGGGGACACTCGGGGACATTTGGGGACACTTGGGGACACTCGGGGACAATTTTTGGGGACAATTTTTGGGGATTTGGGGGCATTTTGAGGCATTTTGAGGCGGTTTTGGGGCATTTTTGGGTGTTTGGTGACACCTTGGGGACATCAGGGACACGCAGGGGACATCAGGGACACCTTGGGGACATTGAGGTCACTTTGGGGACATCTCAGGGACACTTTGGGGACAATTTTTGGGGATTTGGGGTAGTTTTGGGGCATTTTAAAGCGGTTTTGGGGCATTTTTGGGTGTTTGGTGACACTTTGGGGACATCAGGGACACCCTGGGGACACTTGGGGACACCCTGGGGACACCCTGGGGACACTTTGGGAGGACCTGGGGTCACTTTTGGGGTTCCTGGGGACATTTTTGGGGATTTGGGGACACTTTGGGGACAATTCTTGGGGATTTGGGGACATTTTGGGGCATTTTGAGGCCGTTTTGGGGCATTTTTGGGTGTCTGGTGACACTTTGGGGACATCAGGCACACCCAGGGGACATCAGGGACACCCTGGGGACACTTGGGGACATCCTGGGGACACTCAGGGACACTTGGGGACAATTGGGGACATTTGGGGACAATTTTTGGGGACAATTTTTGGGGATTTGGGGCTGTTTTTGGGCATTTTGAGGCGGTTTTGGGGCATTTTTGGGTGTTTGGTGACACTTTGGGGACACCTTGGGGACACTTGGGGACACTTTGGGAGGACCTGGGGTCACTTTTGGAGTTTTTGGGGACATTTTTGGGGATTTGGGGACATTTTGGTGCCACCTGTAGAGAATTTGGGACCAACCTCAGGGAAATTGGTGCCAAATTTGGGGATTTTGGTGCCAAATTTGGGGATTTTGGTGCCAAATTTGGGGATTTTTGGGGATTGCGCCCTTGGGGACACTTGGGGACAATTTTTGGGGACAATTTTTGGGGATTTGTGGACGTTTTGGGGCATTTTGAGGCGGTTTTGGGGCATTTTTGGGTGTCTGGTGACACTTTGGGGACCCTGGGACACCCAGGTGACATCAGGGACACTTTGGGGACACTTTGGGAGGACCTGGGGTCACTTTTGGGGTTCCTGGGGACATTTTTGGGGATTTGGGGACATTTTGGGGACAATTGTAGAGAATTTGGGTCCAACCTCAGGGAAATTGGTGCCAAATTTGGGGATTTTGGTGCCAAATTTGGGGATTTTGGTGCCAAATTTGGGGATTTTGGTGCCAAATTTGGGGATTTTCGTGGTTTTCACCCTTGGGGACAATTGGGGACACTCAGGGACACTTGGGGACAGTTTTTGGGACAATTTTTGGGGATTTGGGGACATTTTGGGGCATTTTGAGGCTGTTTTGGGGCATTTTTGGGTATTTGGTGACACTTTGGGGACATTGGGACACCCAGGGGACATCAGGGACACCCTGGGGACACCCTGGGGACACCTTGGGGACATTGAGGTCACTTTGGGGACACCTCAGGGACACTTTGATGACGATTTTGGGGGATTTGGGGACATTTTGGGACATTTTGAGGCGGTTTTGGGGCATTTTTGGGTGTTTGGTGACACTTTGGGGACACTGGGACACCCTGGGGACATCAGGGACACCCTGGGGACACCCTGGGGACACCTCGGGGACACTCAGGGACACTTGGGGACACTCGGGGACAGTTTTTGGGGACAATTTTTGGGGGATACAGTCCTGGATCGAGGCCCTCTCCACCTCCTGCAGCTCCAGCTCCACCTGCCGGGAATACTGCCGCAGGTCCACGCCCTGAAACGGAAATTTGGGGACTTTTGGGACCTTTTGGGGACTTTTGGGGAACTTTGGGGATTTTTGGGGATTTTTTTGGGAGGTTTTTGGGATTTTTTGGGATATTTTGGGGCGGAGCCACTCACGGTCTGCAGCGCCTCCTGCACCAAGGCGTCCTCCAGGTTCTCCTGGATGTGCACTGGGGAAAACGGGGAAAGAAATGGGAAAAACGGGAAAAATGGGGAAAAAGGGAAAAATTGGGGGAAAAATGGGAAAAAAATGGGGAAAAAATGGGAAAAATTGGGGGGAAATGGGCAAAAAGGGGATATTGGGGAATATCCCCCCCCATGGCACAAATGGTTCTGTCCGGCCTGACCACGCCCCCTCCCACAGGCCACGCCTCCTCCCACAGGCCACGCCCCCATTAATGTAAATTAGCCCCAGCGTGATAGGACCAAATATGGTCATGGCCACGCCCACAAACCACACACACAAATTAGGGCATGACCACGCCCCTCATTATGCATTAATGAGCCCATCCCTGCCATGGCCACGCCCCTAATTAAGCATTAATGAACCTGCCCCTCATTAAGAATCAATGGACCGCCCCCTCTCACCATGAAGCCACGCCCCCCGCCGTGGCCCCGCCCCGTCCATGGCCCCGCCCCCTGGTCTGACCACGCCCCCTGCCCTGGCCCCGCCCCTCTCACCATCAAGCTCCGCCCCCTCCAGCTCCAGCTCCTCCTCCAGCTCCGCCTCCAGCGGCGCCTCCATCGCCGCCACCTGCGCCACAACGGCCTCGCTGAGCGCCGCGCCCCCTCCGCCGGCCCAGAACCCTCCCGGATCTTCACAAAAAACCCCAAAAAACCCCAAAAAAACCCCACAAAACCCTCCCGGGATCCCCCAAACCTCCCCCGCCGCCGGCGCTACCTCCGCCTGCGTCGCCATCTTGCCGAGGCGCGCCGCGTGACGTCACTTCCGCTTCCGCCTCCTTCCTCTGGGCAGAGCCCCGCGCCGGCCGCAGCCATGGTGAGCTCCGGGCGGGATCCGCCGCCATCGGCGCGCGGGGCGGGCGGCGGGCGGCGGGGAGGGCGCGGGGCGATGGCGGCGGCACCGGGGGAGGCGGCGGGGCGGGGAGGGGGCGGCGGCGCGCGGCGATGGCGGCGGCAGGGACGCCAATGTCCGACCCCCCCCCCTCAGGTGTCATGGCGGCCCTCGCGCCCCTCACGGCGCGAAACGGCCCCAAAATGTCCCCAAAGCGGCCGGAATTGTCCCAAACCGCCCTGAAACCGTCCCAAATCCCCTCAAAACTGTCCCAAATCCCCTCAAAACCGTCCCAAATCCCCTCAAAACTGTCCCAAATCCCCTCAAAACTGTCCCAAATCCCTTTCCAGGTGTCCCCGATCCCCCTAAAAGTGTCCCCAGGCCCCTCAAACTGTCCCCAAGGTGTCCCCGAGCCCAGCCAGGTGTCACAAGTCCGTGAAAAGTGACTCAAAATCCCCCGGAATAGTCCCCAAGGCCCTAAAATGTCCCCAAAATGTCCCAAATCCCTTTCAAATGTCTCCAAGCCCCTAAAATTGTCCCCAAAATGTCCCAAATCCCTTTGAAATGGCCTAAGTCCCTAAAAATGTCCCGAAAAATGTCCCCAAAATGTCCCAAATTTCTTTTCAAATGTCCCAAATCCCCCTCGGAACTGTCCCCGAGGTGTCCCCAAGCCCAGCCAGGTGCCCCAAGTCTGTGAAAAGTGACTCAAAATCCCCCAGAATTGTCCCCAAGCCCCTGAAAGTGTCCCCAAAATGTCCCCAGTCCCTTTCTGAATGCCCCAAATCCCCCTCAAACTGTCCCCAAAGTGTCCCCGATGTCCCCAAGGTGTCCCCAGCCCCCCCAAATCCGCCTGAAATTCTCCTCAATCCCCCCAAAAACCATCCCGGGGCTGTCCCCATGCCCCTGTCCCCAATGTCCCCAGGTGTCCCCAATGTCCCCTCGGTCCCTGGTGATCCCCAATGTCCCCCCAATGTCCCCACTGTCCCCAGTGTCCCTGTGATGTCCCCGTCGATGTCCCCCCAATGTCCCCACTGTCCCCAGTGTCCCTGCTGATGTCCCTGCTGTCCCCATTGATGTCCCTGCTGTCCCCAGTGTCCCTGCTGATGTCCCTGCTGTCCCCATTGATGTCCCTGCTGTCCCCAGTGTCCCTGCTGATGTCCCAATGGTGTCCCCACGGTGGTCCCTGGTGATCCCCACTGTCCCCTCACTGTCCCCAGTGTCCCCTTGGTGTCCCTGCTGTCCCCAATGTCCCTGCTGTCCTCACCGGCCCGATGGTGTCCCTGCTGTCCCCTCACTGTCCCCACTGTCCCCTTGGTGTCCCCACTGTCCCCATCAATGTCCCCTGACTGTCCCCGCTGTCCCCTCAGTCCCTGGTGATCCCGTGTCCCTGTGATGTCCCCGGTGTCCCCTCGGTGTCCCCTCGGTGTCCCCTCAGTCTCTGGTGATCTCCAATGTCCCTCCTGATGTCCCTGCTGTCCTCAATGTCCCCATCAATGTCCCCTCGCTGTCCCCTCAGTCTCTGGTGATCCCCAGTGTCCCCGCTGATGTCCCTGCTGTCCCCAATGTCCCCTCACTGTCCCCAATGTCCCCTGACTGTCCCCTGTGTCCCCTCAGTCGCTGGTGATCCCCGAGAAGTTCCAGCACATCCTGCGGGTGCTGAACACCAACATCGACGGGCGGCGCAAGATCGCCTTCGCCATCACCGCCATCAAGGTGACACGGGGACAGGGACAGGGACAGGGACAGGGGACAGTGACACTGACACTGACAGGGGATGGGGACACTGACAGGGGACACTGACAGGGGACACTGACAGGGGATGGGGACACTGCAGGGGATGGGGACACTGACAGGGGATGGGGACACTGACAGGGGATGGGGACACTGACAGGGGACACTGACAGGGGACACTGACAGGGGACACTGACAGGGGATGGGGACACTGACAGGGGATGGGGACACTGACAGGGGATGGGGACACTGACAGGGGACACTGACAGGGGATGGGGACACTGACAGGGGACACTGACAGGGGATGGGGACACTGACAGGGGATGGGGACACTGACAGGGGATGGGGACACTGACAGGGGGTGGGGACACTGACAGGGGATGGGGACACTGACAGGGGATGGGGACACTGACAGGGGGTGGGGACACTGACAGGGGATGGGGACACTGACAGGGGGTGGGGACACTGACAGGGGATGGGGACACTGACAGGGGGTGGGGACACTGACGGGGATGGGGACACTGACAGGGGACACTGACAGGGGACACTGACAGGGGATGGGGACACTGACAGGGGACACTGACAGGGGATGGGGACACTGACAGGGGACACTGACAGGGGATGGGGACACTTTGGGGATACTGACAGGGGATGGGGACACTTTGGGGACACTGACAGGGGGATTTGGGGACACTTTGGGGACACTCTGAGGGTTTTGGGGACACTGACAGGGGGATTTGGGGACACTTTGGGGACACTCTGAGGGAGTTGGGGACACTTTGGGGACACTGACAGGGGATTTGGGGACACTTTGGGGACACTGACAGGGGATTTGGGGACACTTTGGGGACACTCTGAGGGTTTTGGGGACACTTTGAGGGCGATGGGGACCCCTGGAGGGGTTTGGGGACACCTTGGTGGCCTCGTGGAGCTGCCAGCCCTCTGTGATCCCCTGTGACCCCTTGTGACCCTCTGTGACCCCCTGTGACCCCGTGTGACCCCCTGTGACCCCGTGTGACCCCGTTTGTCCCCTCTGTCCCCGTTTGTCCCCGCAGGGCGTGGGGCGGCGCTACGCCCACGTGGTGCTGCGCAAGGCCGACATCGACCTGACCAAACGCGCCGGGGAGCTCACCGAGGACGAGGTGGCACCTGGGGACACTTTGGGGACACCTTGGGGACATTTTGGGGACACTTGGGGACAATTCCCGGGGGTTTGGGGACAATTCATGGGGGTTTGGGGACAATTCATGGTGGTTTGGGGTGGATTTGGGGCCGACACCGACCTGGCCAAATGCGCCTGGAGCTCACCGAGGACGAGGTGGCACCTGGGGACACCTTGGGGACACTTGGGGACAATTCCAGGGGGTTTGGGGACACTTTAGGGACATTTGGGGACAACTCATGGGGGTTTGGGGTGGTTTGATGTGGTTTTGGGGTGGATTTGGGGGGGTTTGGGTCTGACATCGACCTGGCCAAACGTATCTGGAGCTCACCGAGGACGAGGTGGCACCTGGGGACACCTTGGGGACACCTTGGGGACATTTGGGGACACTTTGGGGACATTTGGGGACAATTCCTGGCGGTTTGGGGACAATTCATGGGGGTTTTGGCTGGTTTGTTGTGGTTTTGGGGGGGGTTTGGGGCCGACATTGACCTGACCAAGCGCTCCTGGAGCTCACCGAGGACGAGGTGGCACCGGGGACACCTTGGGGACACTCTGGGGACATTTTGGGGACATTTGGGGACACTTTGAGGACAATTCCAGGGGGTTTGGGGAGGTTTGATGTGGTTTTGGGGTGGATTTGGGAGGGTTTGGGTCTGATATTGACCTGACCAAGCGCTCCTGGAGCTCACCAAGGACGAGGTGGCACCTGGGGACACTTTGGGGACATTTGGGGACAATTCCTAGCGATTTGGGGACAATTCGTGGGGGTTTGGGGACAATTCCAGGGGGTTTGGGGAGGTTTGATGTGGTTTTGGGGTGGATTTGGGAGGGTTTGGGGCTGATATCGACCTGACCAAGCGCTCCTGGAGCTCACCAAGGAGGAGGTGGCACCTTGGGGACACCTGGGACACCTTGGGGACATTTTGGGGACACTTTAGGGACATTTGGGGACAATTCATGGGGGTTTGGGGACAATTCCAGGGGGTTTGGGGTGGTTTGATGTGGTTTTGGGGTGGTTTGGGGTCAATTTAAGGGAGTTTGGGGCCAACATGGACCTGACCAAGTGCGCCGGGAGCTCACCGAGGATGAGGTGGCACCTGGGGACACTTGGGACACGTTGGGGACACTTTGGGGACATTTTTGGGACAATTCCAGGGGTTTTGGTGAGACTTTGGACTTTTTTTGTGCTATTTCAGCCATTTCTGGTGCAATGCAGGTGTAGTTTTTGGGATTTTTGCCCCAATTTTGGTGTTTTTGTCCTTTTGGGGGTTGGGGACACTCTGGGGACATTTTGGGGACATTTTTGGTGGCCATGGGGACACTTTGGGCTGGGTTTTGGGACTTTTTTTTGTGCTATTTCAGCGATTTTTGGTTTCATTTGGGTGCAGTTTTGGGTTTCTCTGTCCGTGGGTGGTTGGGGACACTCTGGGGACACTTTTGGGACACTTTTGGTGGCCACGGGGACAGTTTGGGCTGGGTTTTGGGCCATTTTGACACTTTTTTATTGCTATTCCAGCCATTTTTGGTGCTATTTGGATGCATTTTTTGGGGTTTTTCCCCCAATTTTGGGGTTTTTGTCCTTGTGGGGGTTGGGGACATTTTTTGGGGGCCATGGGGACACTTTGGGGGGATTTTGGGCCATTTTGGTGATTTTTTGTGCTATTTCAGCCATTTTTGGTGCCATTTGGGTGCAGTTTTTGGGGTTTTTGCCCCAGTTTTGGGGTTTTTGTCCTTGTGGGGGTTGGGGACACTTTGGGGACATTTTGGGACATTTTGGGACAGTTTGGGCTGAGTTTTGGGCCATTTTTGGTGCTATTTCACCCATTTTTTCTGCGATTGAGGTGCAGTTTTTGGGGTTTTTGCCCCAATTTTGGGGTGTTTGTCCTTGTGGGGGTTGGGGACACTCTGGGGACATTTTGGGGACAGTTTGGGGACATTTTGGGCTGGGTTTTGGGCCATTTTGGTGCTTTTTTGTGCTATTTCAGCCATTTTAGGTGTAATTCAGGTGCCGTTTTTGGGGTTTTTACCCCAATTTTGGGGTTTTTGTCCTTGTGGGGGTTGGGGACACTTTGGGGACATTTTTGGGGACATTTTGGGGACATTTTGGGCTGGGTTTTGGGCCATTTTGCTGCTTTTTTGGTGCTATTTCAGCCACTTTTGGTGCCATTTGGATGCAGTTTTTGGGGTTTTTGCCCCAGTTTTGGGGTTTTTGTCCTTGTGGGGGTTGGGGACACTTTGGGGACATTTTTGGGGACACTTTGGTGACACTTTGGGGACACTTTGGGGACATTTTTGGTGGCCATGGGGACACTTTTAGGCCGTTTTGAGCTGATTTTTCGGGGGATTTTGCTTTTTTTGTGCTATTTCAGCCATTTCTTACACAATTCAGGTGCAGTTTTTGGGGTTTTTGCCCCAATTTTGGGGTTTTTGTCCTTGTGGGGGTTGGGGACAGTTTTTGGGGACAGTTTTGGTGGCCATGGGGACATTTTGGGCTGGGTTTTGGGGGGATTTTGGGCCATTTTGGCACTTTCTTTGTGCTATTTCAGCCCTTTTTGGTGCTATTTGGGTGCAGTTTTTGGGGTTTTTCCCCAGTTTTGGGATGTTTGTCCTTGTGTGGGGGTTGGGGACACTCTGGGGACGCTTTGGGGACATTTTTGGGGGCCATGGGGACACTTTGGGGACAGTTTGGGCTGGTTTTGGGCCATTTTTGGTGCTGTTTTGCCCATTTTTTCTGCGATTGAGGTGCAGTTTTTGGGGTTTTTGCCCCAATTTTGGGTTTCTCTGTCCCACTGTTTGGGACCCTTTGGGGACACTTTGGGGACACTTTGGGGACACTTTGGGACATTTGGGGACACTTTGGGGACAGTTTGGGCTGCGTTTTGGGCCATTTTTGGTGCTATTTCGCCCATTTTTTCTGCGATTCAGGTGCAGTTTTGGGGTTTTTGCCCCAGTTTTGGGTTTCTCTGTCCCCATGGGGTTGGGGACACTCTGGGGACATTTTGGGGACAGTTTGGGGACATTTTGGGCTGGGTTTTGGGCCATTTTGGCACTTTTTTGTGCTATTTCAGCAATTTTTTGTGCACTTCGGGTGCAGTTTTTGGGGTTTTTGCCCCAATTTTGGGGTTTTTGTCCTTGTGGGGGTTGGGGACACTTTGGGGACACTTTTGGTGGCCATGGGGACACTTTGGGCTGGGTTTTGGGGGGATTTTGGGCCATTTTGGCACTTTATTCCAGCCATTTTTGGTGCTATTTGGATGCAGGTTTTGGGGTTTTTGTTATTTTGGGGGTTGGGGACACTTTGGGGACACTTTGGGGACATTTTGGGGACAGTTTGGGCTGCGTTTTGGGCCATTTTTTGTGCTATTTCGCCCATTTTTTCTGCGATTCAGGTGCAGTTTTTGGGTTTTTTGCCCCAATTTTGGGTTTCTCTGTGCCGCTGTTGTTGGGGACATTTTGGGGACACTCTGGGGACATTTTGGGACACTTTGGGGACATTTTGGGGACACTCTGGGGACATTTTGGGACACTTTGGGGACATTTTGGGGACACTTTGGGGACATTTTGGGACACTTTGGGGACACTTTGGGATGGGTTTTGGGCCATTTTGGTGCTTTTTTGTGCTATTTCAGCCATTTTTGGTGCAATTCAGATGCAGTTTTTGGGGTTTTTGCCCCAGTTTTGGGATGTTTGTCCTTGTGGGGGGTGGGGACACTTTGGGGACATTTTGGGGACATTTTTGGGGGCCATGGGGACACTTTGGGCTGGGTTTTGGGGGGATTTTGGGCCATTTTGGTGATTTTTTTGTGCTATTTCAGCCATTTTTGGTGCAATTCAGGTGCAGTTTTTGGGGTTTTTTCCCCAGTTTTGGGGTTTTTGTCCTTGTGGGGGTTGGGGACACTTTGGGGACACTTTTGGGGCCCATAGGGACACTTTGGGGACATTTTTGGAGGCCATGGGGACACTTTGGGGACATTTTGGGGACATTTTGGGGACACTTTGGGCTGGTTTTGGGACATTTTTGGTGCTATTTCACCCATTTTTTCTGCGATTGAGGTGCAGTTTTGGGTTTTTTGCCCCAGTTTTGAGGGTTTTGTCCTTGTGGGGGTTGGGGACACTTTGGGGACATTTTTGGTGGCCATGGGGACAGTTTGGGGACACTTTTGGTGGCCATGGGGACACTTTTAGGCCGTTTTGAGCTGATTTTTGGGGGGGATTTTGCTTTTTTTTGCTATTTCAGCCATTTCTTACACAATTCAGGTGCAGTTTTTGGGGTTTTTGCCCCAGTTTTGTGTTTCTCTGTCCCGCTGTTGTTTGGGACACTTTGGGGACACTTTAGGGACAGTTTGGGGACACTTTGGGGACAGTTTGGGGACACTTTGGGCTTAGTTTTGGGCCATTTTTGGTGCTATTTCGCCCATTTTTTCTGCGATTCAGTTGCAGTTTTTGGGGTTTTTGCCCAGTTTTGGGGTTTTTGTCCTTGTGGGGCTTTGGGACACTTTGGGGACATTTGGGGACACCCTGGGGACACTTGGGGACCTGTGACAGCCGTGTCCCCCTGTCCCCAGGTGGAGAGGGTGATCACCATCATGCAGAACCCGCGGCAGTACAAAATCCCCGACTGGTTCCTCAACAGGCAGAAGGACGTCAAGGACGGCAAATACTCCCAGGTGTGCCCCAAAATCTCCCAAATTGTCCCCAAAATGTCCCCCCAGAGTGTCCCCTCGCTGCCACACCTCCCTTAGCTCCTTTTCCCCGATTTCCCCTCTTTTATCCCCGTTTTCCCCTCTGCTTTTCTCATTAATTTGCATTTTTCACCCATTTTTGCTGCCCTTATTTTCATTTTTTCTCCCCGTTTTTGTTTCCATTTTATCCCCATTAACTTTCTCATTTTTCCCTTTATTTTCCACTTTTCTTTTTTATCCTGATATTTTCCCCTATTTTTCTTTTTATTTCATATTTTTTCCCTTTTATCCTTATATCCCTCCATTTCCCCTTAATTTCCACATTTTTTCTTTTATCCCCTTTTTCCTCCCTCTTCCCCCAATTTTCCTTCCCCAATTTTCTCCCCTTTTCCCTGATTTTCCCCCCATTTCCCCCACATTTTTCTCAATTTCCCCCCAATTTCCCCCATTTTTCCCCATTTCCCAATTCCCCCCATTTTTCCCAGTTTCCCCCCATTTTTCTGATTCCCCATTTCCTGTTTTTTCCTGTTTTTTCCCAATTTCCTCCATTTTTCTCAGTTTTCCCCCATTATTCCCCTTTTCCCCCATTTTTCCTAATTTCCCCTTTTCCTGTTTTTTCCTGTTTTTCCCAATTTTCCCCCATTTTCCCCCTTCATTTCCCCATTTTTCCCAATTCTCTATTTTTCCCCCTTTTGTCCTAATTTCCCCTTTTTTCCTTCCATTTCCCTCCTCTTTTCCCAATTTCATCCCCCAAATTTTCCTCCCATTTCCCCTTTTCCCAATTTCCCCATTTTCCCCAATTTCACTTTTTCCCCCATTTCTCCCATTTTTCCCAATTTCACTCCAATTTTTCCCCAATTTCCCATTTTTCCACCCATTTTCTACCATTTTTTTCCCTTTCCCCCCATTTTTACCATTTCCCCCCAAAATTTCCCATTTTTTCTTCATTTCCCCCATTTTTTTTCCTTTTTCTTCCCTTTTTTCCCATTTTTCACCCCAATTTCTCATTTTTTTCCCCATTTTCTCCCCATTTTTTCCCGGTTCTCCCCCCCATTCCCCTGCAATTTCCCATATTTTTCCCCATTTTTTCCCTTTTCCCCCAATTTCCCATTTTTCCCTTTTCCCCCCATTTTTCCCATTACTCCCTCCCATTTTCCCCCAATTTCCTATTTCTTTCCCCATTTTTGCCTCATTTTTCCCCCTTTTGCCCCCATTTTCCCCAATTTCCCATTTTTTTTCCCATTTTCCCCTCATTTTCCCCTTTTCTCGCCAATTTCCCATTTTTCCCTTTTCCTCCCATTTTTTCCCATTTCTCCCCCCCCTTTTCCCCCATTTTCCCCCCAATTTCCAATTTTTTCCCCCATTTTCCCTCAATTTCCCATTTTTTCCCCCATTCCCCCCATTTTTTCCCTTTCCCCCCTATTTTCCCCCATTTTCTCCCCATTTTTCCCCCATTTCTCCCCCAATTTCCAATTTTTTTCCCCATTTTCTCCCCATTTTTTCCTTTTCCCCCCATTTTTTCCCATTTCTCCCCACATTCCCCCCCCTTTTTTTCCCATTTTCCCCTATTTTCCCCCACATTTTCCCATTTCCCCCCAATTTTTCCCAATTTCACTCCAATTTTCCCATTTCCCCCCCAAATTTTTCTATTTGTTCCTTTTTCTCCCCCATTTTTCCCCATTTTCCCCCCAATTTCCCATTTTTCTCCATTTTCTCCCCATTTCTCCCCCCAATTTTTCCCCATTTTCCCTCATTTTTCCCTTTTCCCCCAATTTCCCATTTTTCCCTTTTCCCCCCATTTTTCCCATTACTCCCTCCCATTTTCCCCCAATTTCCTATTTCTTTCCCCATTTTTGCCTCATTTTTCCCCCTTTTGCCCCCATTTTCCCCAATTTCCCATTTTTTTTCCCATTTTCCCCTCATTTTCCCCTTTTCTCGCCAATTTCCCATTTTTCCCTTTCCCTCCCATTTTTTCCCATTTCTCCCCCCCCTTTTCCCCCATTTTCACCCCAATTTCCCATTTTTTCCCATTTTTCCCCATTTTCCCCCATTTTTTCCCTTTTCTCCCCATTTTTCCCCCATTTTCCCCCCATTTTTCCCACGAATTTCTCATTTTTACCCATTTCCCCCCATTCTTTCCCCATTTTCCCCCCCCCATTTCCCCCCCGTTTCCCCAATCTCCCCCGGATTTTCCCAAATCCCCCGGAATTTGCCCCATTTCCAGGTCCTGGCCAACGGGCTGGACAACAAACTGCGGGAGGACCTGGAGCGGCTGAAGAAGATCCGCGCCCACCGGGGCCTGCGCCACTTCTGGGGGTAAATCCCGCGATTTTGGTAAAATCCCTCCAAAAACCCCCAATTCCAGCCGGATTTTCCCAAATCCCCCCGAATTAACCCCAATTTCCCCCCAGGCTGCGCGTGCGGGGGCAGCACACCAAAACCACCGGGCGGCGCGGCAGAACCGTCGGCGTCTCCAAGAAAAAATGAGGGAAAAAAGAGGAAATTTGGGAATTCCGGGAATCCGGGAATAAAAATAATGGAGAATTTGGAGAGAGTGAGTGGAATTTTTGGGGGGAAATAAAGGGAAAAGTGGAAAAATGAGAGAAAAAGTGTGGGAAAATGGGAAAAAGTGGGAAAGATGAGGGGGAAAGTGGGAGGAAAAGTAAAGGGAAAATGAGGGAAAAAGAGGAAAAATGAGGGGAGAGTGAGGAAAAAAAAGGGAAAAAATAGGAAAAATGAGGGAAAAAGGAAAAATGGGAAAAAGTAGGAAAGAATGAGGAGGAAAGTGGGAAAAAAGGAGGGAAATAGTGGGAAAATGAAGGAAAAAAGTGGGGAAAAAAGGAGAGAAAAATAATGGGAAGTGGAAAAAAGGAGGGGAAAAAGGAGGGGGAAAAGGGAAAATGAAGGAAAAAAGTGGGGAAAATGAGGGGAAAAAGTGGAAAAAAGGGAAAAATAAGTGGGAAAAGTGGGGGAAAAAAGGAAAAGGGGAAAATGGGAAAAATGAGGGAAAAACTGCGGGAAAATGGTGGGGAAAAGTGGGGAAAAAATGAGGGGAAAAGTGGGAGAAAAAGTAGGAAAAATGGGAGAAAAAGGGGAAAAGTGGGAAAGATGAGGGGAAAAATGAGGGGGAAAGTGAGGAAAAACTGGGAAAATAAAGGAAAAAAGTGGGGAAGAGGGGAAAAAGTGGGAAAATGAGGGAAAAAAGTGGGGAAAAATGAAGAGGAAAAGTGGGAAAAATAAGAAAAAGTGGGAAAAATAACGGGAAATGTGGGAAAAATAAGGGGAAAAGTGGAAAAATGAGGGAAAAACTGCGGGAAAATGGTGGGAAGAAGTGGGAAAGAATGAAGGGGAAAAGTGGGAGAAAAAGAAAAAAAGGGAAAAAGAGGGAAAAAGGAAAAATGAGGGGAGAGTGAGGAAAAAAAGGGAAAAATTGGGAAAGATGAGGGGAAAAATGAGGGGGAAAGTGGGAAAAAGAAGGGAAAAAGGGAAAATAAATGAAAAAGTGGGAAAAAGGAGGGGAAAAGTAAAAAAAAAGGAAGGAAAAGTGGGAAACAGGAGGGAAAAAGGAATTTTGGGAATTCCAGGAATAAAAGAGGAGATTTTGGGGTGTTTGAGTGGATTTTTGGGGAAAAATGGAAAAATGAGGGAAAATTGGTGGGAAAAAGGTGAAAAGTGGGAAAAAATGAGGGAAAAAATGGAAAAAAGGAGGGGAAAATCAGGGGGAAAAGAGGAATTTTGGGACTTGCAGGAATAAAAGAGGTTTTTGGAGTGGGGGTGGATTTTTGGGGGGAAAATGAGGGGAAAAGTGGTGAAAAAAGGCAAAAAAGTGAGGGAAAAACTGGAAAAATGAGAAGTGGGAAAAAGGGAAAATAAGGGGAAAAGTGGGGAAAATGAGGGAAAAGTGGGAAAAATGAGGGAAAAAAGTGGAAAAATGAGAGAAAAGTGGGGAAAAAGGAGGGAAAAAAGGGAAAAATGAGAGAAAAAAGTGGGAAAAAATGAGGGAGAAAAGGAGGGAAAAGGGGAAAAATAAGGGGAAAAGTGGGGAAAATGAGGGGAAAAAGTGGGAAAAAAGGAGGGGAAAAGAGGAATTTTGGGAGTTCTGGGTGGGAGGAGGAATTCCAGGAATAAAAGTGGAGGTTTTTGGAGTGTGAGTGGATTTTTGGGGGAAAAACAGGGGAAATGGGAAAATTAGAAAAAATGAGAGAAAAAAGTGGGAAAAAAGAGGGGAAAATGTGGGAAAAAAGGGGAAAAGTGGGAAAATGAGAGAAAAAAGGAGGGAAAAAATGGGAAAAATAAGGTAAAAGAAGAGGTGAAAATGAGGAAAACTGAAGGGAAAACTGGGAAAAAAATGGGGGAAATTGGGGAAAAAACTGGGGGGAAAATGAGAAAAAATGAGGAAAAAAACTGAAAAAAAGCAGGAAAAAATGAGGGGAAAAAGGGAAAAAAGCAGGAAAATGTGAGGGGAAAACTGGGGAAAGTTGAGGGGAAAATGGGAAAAAATTGAGGGAAAAAAATGGAAAAAATGAAGGGGGAAAGTGGGAAAAATTGAGGGGAAAAGTGGGAAAAATGACAGAAAAAACTGGGGAAAATTGAGGGAAAAAACGAGGGAAAAACGGAAAACAAGAAAAAAAAATTTTGGGCCCAGACACAAAATTCCAGGAATAAAAATGAAATTTTTCGGAATTTGGAGTGGATTTTTGAGGATTAAAAATGGATTTTTTCCAAATTAAAAATGGATTTTCCGGAATTAAAAATGGATTTTTGGGAATTAAAAATGGATTTTTTCTGAACTAAACAATGGGATTTTTAAAAAATTTAAAGTGGAATTTTTTTTTAATTAAAAATGGACTTTTTAGGAATTAAAAATATTTTTTCAGAATGAAATTTGGATTTTTTTGGGAATTAAAAGTGGATTTTTTGTGAATAAAAAAAGGATTTTTTTTTAATTAAAAATGGATTTTTGGGAATTAAAATTTGATTTTCGGGAATTATAAACGGATTTTAGGGAATTAAAAATGGATTTTTGGGAATGAAAAATGGATTTTTTTTAAATTCAAAATGAATTTTTTCTGAATTAAAATGTGATTTTTTTTTCTGATGTAAATTTGATTTTTTCGGAATTAAAAATGGATTTTCGGGAATTAAAAATGGATTTTTGGGAATTAAAAATGAATTTTTTGGGAATGGGAATCGCCTTTTGGGGGAAAAAAATGGGATTTTTTGGGGGGGAAAAATTGGGATTTGGGACGCCCCAAAATGTGGAAAAACAAACCCGGAAGTGGCGGGCGGAGATTTGCCCTCAGCAAAGATGGCGGCGGCCACGTCCGCGCTGCACGCCCTCGCTCAAGATGGTGCCGCCCTCGACAAAGATGGCGCAGCCCACAACAAAGATGGCGCCCACGCTTCACTCAATACCCGCCTTGCCCTACACCAAGATGGCGCCCCCGCCCTCAACCTCTTCCCGCGCTGCATCGCTCTGATTGGCCACGCTTTGCCCGCGCTTCATCCCGATTGGCTCCGCCTCGGGAAGTGGGCGTGGCGTGCGCACATGGCGGCGATGGCGGGCGGCGTGTCCGGGGTGAGTGAGGGGAATCGGGGGGAGGGAAATTCCCCCAAATTTGGGGCGCCCGGGGCGGGTTTTGGGGGTCCCGGGGGGATTTTGGGGGTGTCCCGAGCTCACGGCTGCTTCTCCCGCAGAGGACGGACCCGTTCCCCGGGCCGGCGCCGGTGCCGCGGGCCGGAGTGAAGCGATTCCTGCGGGACAGCGGCGAGAAAGCGGTACCGGGGCGGGGGGGGAGGGGATTTGGGGGGGAATGAGGGGATTTGGGGGATTCTGAGGGGATTTGGGGGGTCCTGAGGGGATTTGGACGGAAATGAAGAGATTTTGGGGGTTCCTGAGTGGATTTGGGGCTCCTGAGGGGATTTGGGGTGTCCTGAGGGGATCTGGGGGGGAATGAGGAGATTTTGGGGGGTCCTGAGGGGATCTCGGGGGAGAATGAGGGGATTTGGGGGGGAATGAGGGGATTTTGGGGGGTCCTGAGGGGATCTGGGGGGGAATGAGGGGATTTTGTGGGAAATGAGGGGATTTGGGGGATCCTGAGGGGATTTTGGGGAATTCTGAGGGGATTTGGGGGATTCTGAGGGGATTTGGGGTGTCCTGAGGGGATTTTGGGGGATTCTGAGGGGATCTGGGGTGTCCTGAGGGGATTCTGTGAGGGAAATGAGGGGATTTTGTGGGAAATGAGGGGATTTTGTGGGAAATGAGGGGATTTGGGGGATTCTGAGGGGATTTTGGGGGTCCTGAGGGGATTTTGTGGGAAATGAGAGGATTTTGGGGGTTCCTGAAGGGATTTGGGGGGTCCTGAGGGAATTTGGTGGTCCTGAGGGGATTTGGGGAAGGTCTGAGGGGATTTGGGGGTCCTGAGGGGATTTTGTGGGAAATGAGAGGATTTTGGGGTCCTGCTGAGTGAATTTGGGGTGTCCTGAGGGGATTTGGAGGGAAACGAGGGGATTTTGTGAAAAACAGGGGAAAATTTGGGAGGTCATGAGGGGATTTGGGGGTCCATGAGGGGATTTGGGGGTCCCTGAGGGGATTTTGGGGTCCCTGAGGAGATTTTGGGGTCCCTGAGGTGATTTTGGGGTCCCTGAGGGGATTTTGGGGTCCCTGTGAGGGGATTTTGGGGTCCCTAAAGGGAATTTTGGGGTCCCTGAGGGGATTTTGGGGTTCCTAAGGGGATTTGGGGGTCCCTGAGGGGATTTTGGGGTCCCTGAGGGGATTTTGGGGTCCCTGAGTGGATTTGGGGGTCCCTGAGGGGATTTTGGGGGTCCCTGAGGGGATTTTGCGGTTCCTGAGGGGATTTTGGGGTCCCTGAGGTGAATTTTGGGTCCCTGAGGGGATTTTGGGGTCCATGAGGGGATTTTGGGGGGAACTTGAGAGAATTGGGGGGATTTGGGTGAATTTGGGGATTCCTGGAAGAAACTGGGGGGGATTTGGGTGGAATTTGAGGGAATTTGGGGCAATCTGAAGGAATTTCTGTGGAGTTTTGGGGGAATTTGGGTGGAATTCCTGGAATTTCGGTAGAATTTCGGTAAAATTTGGGTGGAACTAAAGAAAATTTGACAGAATTTGGGGCAATTTGAAGGAATTTTGGTGGAATTTGGGGGAGATTTGGGAGAATTTTGTGGGAATCTGGGTGGAATTTTTAGAATTTTGGGGTGATTTGGGCGGGAATTTTGGGGGATTTGTTAGAATTTGGGGTGATGTGTGTGCGATTTTGGGAATTTTGGGGGAATATGAGGGCATTTGGGTGGAATTTTTGGAACTTGGGTGAATTTGGGTGAAATTGCAGGAATTTGGGGGGATTTGGGTGGAATTGTGGAAATTAGGGGGGAATTTGGGTGAATTGTGGGAATTTTGGGGAATTTGGGTCGAATTTTGGGGATTTTTTTGGGAATGTGTTGGAATTTGGGGGGAATTTTGGGGAATTTTTTTGGAATTTTGGGGAATTTGGGTGGAATTGTTGGAATTTGGGGGGATTTGGGTGGAATTGTTGGAATTTGGGGGGATTTGGATGGAATTGCTGGAATTTTGGGGTAATTTGTGGGAATTTGGGTGAATTGTGCGAATTTTGGGGGAATTTGGGTGGCTTTTTGGGGAATTTTTCTGGAATTTTTTGGGAATTTGGGTGAATTGTGGGAATTTTGGGGAATTTGGGTGGAATTGCTGGAATTTTGGGGGAATTTGTGGAAATTTGGGTGGAATTTTGGGGAATTTGGGTGGAATTTTTGGGAATTTTTTGGGAATTTTGGGGGAATTTGTGGGAATTTTGGGGAATTTTTTGGGAATTTTTTTGGGAATTTGGGTAGAATTTTGTGGAATTTTGGGGAATTTTTTTGGGAATTTGTGGGAATTTTGTGGAATTTTTGGGAATTTTGGGGTGCTGACCCCTCTTTCCCCCCCCAGCCCCGCGCCGTCGCCCCCCGGCTCCGCTGGCACCTGAAAAATTTGGGAATTCGGGAAAAGTCGGCGGCGGAAAAAGCGGCGAGATGGGAACCGCTGCTGCCCGAGGAGCCGGGGTGAGGGACCAGATTCCCGAATCCCGGAGTGATCCCGAAATTCCGGAGGGATCCCGAAATCTGGGAATGATCCCAAAATCTGGGAATGATCCCGAATTCCAGAGTGATCCCGAATTCCGGAACCATCCCAAAATCCGGAAGTGATCCCGAATTCCAGAGTGATCCCGAATTCCAGAGTGATCCCAAAATCCTGGAATGATCCCAAATCCTCAATTCCAGGAACGGTCCCAAAATCCCGGAGTGATCCCAAGTCCCGGAACCATCCTGAATTCCAGAACCATCCCAAATCCCGGAATGATCCCGAATTCCTGGAATGATCCCAAATCCTGAGTTCCTGGAACGATCCCGAAATCCCAGAGTGATCCCAAAATCTGGGAATGATCCCAAATCCTGGAATGATCCCAAATCCCGAATTTCTGGAGTGATCCCAAATCCTGAGATGATCCCAAAATCTGGGAGTGATACTGAATTCCCGGAGTGATCCCAAAATCCTGAGTTCCTTTTGAGGAGAGAAAAAAGGAATTTTTGGGGGCAGAAAAATGGAATTTTTTGGGGGCAGAAAAGTGAATTTTGAGTGGAAAAAAGGGAATTTTTTGGGGGGAGAAAAAGTGAATTTTGAGTGGAAAAAAGGAAATTTTTTTGGGAGAAAAGTGAATTTTGAGTGGAAAAAAGGGAATTTTTTGGGGAGAAAAGGGAATTTTGAGTGGAAAAAAGGGAATTTTTTGGGGGGAGAAAAGTGAATTTTAAGTGGAAAAAAGGGAATTTTTTGGGAGAAAAGGGGATTCTGAGTGGAAAAAAAGGATTTTTTTGGGGGAGAAAAGGGAATTTTGAGTGAAAAAAAGGGAATTTTTTGGGGGAGAAAAGGGAATTTTGAGTGGAAAAAAGGGAATTTTTGGGGGCAGAAAAATGGAATTTTTTGGGGGAGAAAAGTGAATTTTGAGTGGAAAAAAGGGAATTTTTTGGGGGAGAAAAGGGAATTTTAAGTGGAAAAAAGGGAATTTTTTGGGGGAGAAAAGGGAATTTTGAGTGGAAAAAAGGGAATTTTTTGGGGGGAGAAAAAGTGAATTTTGAGTGGAAAAAAGGGAATTTTTGGGGGCAGAAAAAGGGAATTTTTTGGGGGAGAAAAATGAATTTTAAGTGAAAAAAAGGGAATTTTTTGGGGAAGAAAAGGGAATTTTGAGGAGAGAAAAGGGAATTTTGAGAAGGAAAAAAAGGAGATTTTGGGGGCAGAAAAAGGGAATTTTTTTGGGGGAGAAAAGGGAATTTTGAGTGGAAAAAAGGGAATTTTTTGGGGCAGAAAAAGTGAATTTTGAGTGGAAAAAAGGGAATTTTTTGGGGGGAGAAATGGGAATTCTGAGTGGAAAAAAGGGATTTTTTTGGGGAGAGAAAAGTGAATTTTAAGTGGAAAAAAGGGAATTTTTGGGGGTAGAAAAATGGAATTTTTTGGGGGAGAAAAAGTGAATTTTGAGTGGAAAAAAGGGAATTTTTTGGGGGGAGAAAAGGGAATTTTGGGGAGAGAAAAGGGAATTTTTGGGGGCAGAAAAAGGGAATTTTTTGGGGGAGAAAAGTGAATTTTAAGTGAAAAAAAGGGAATTTTTTGGGGGGAGAAAAGGGAATTTTGAGGAGGAAAAAAAGGAGATTTTGGGGGCAGAAAAATGGAATTTTTGGGTGCAGAAAAGGGAATTTTGAGTGGAAAAAAGGGAATTTTTTGGGGCTAAAAAGGGAATTTTGAGGAGAGAAAAGGGAATTTTTTGGGGAAGAAAAGGGAATTTTTGGGGGGGAGAAAAGTGAATTTTGAGTGGAAAAAAGGGAATTTTTTGGGGGGAGAAAAGTGAATTTTAAGTGAAAAAAAGGGAATTTTTGGGGGGGAGAAAAGGGAATTTTAAGTGGAAAAAAAGGGAATTCTTTTGGGAGAAAAGGGAATTTTAAGTGGAAAAAAAGGAATTTTTTGGGGGAGAAAAGGGGATTTTGAGTGGAAAAAAAGGGAATTTTTTGGGGGGAGAAAAGTGAATTTTGAGTGGAAAAAAGGGAATTTTTTTGGGGGAGAAAAGTGAATTTTGAGTGGAAAAAAAGGATTTTTTTGGGGAGAAAAGGGAATTTTGAGTGAAAAAAAGGGAATTTCTTGGGGGGAGAAAAAGGGAATTTTTTGGGGGAGAAAAAGTGAATTTTAAGTGGAAAAAAGAGAATTTTTGGGGGAAGAAAAGTGAATTTTGAGTGGAAAAAAGAGAATTTTTTGGGGAGAGAAAAGGGAATTTTGAGTGGAAAAAAAGGAATTTTTTGGGGGAGAAAAGGGAATTTTGAGTGGAAAAAAGGGAATTTTTGGGGGCAGAAAAATGGAATTCTTTGGGGGAGAAAAGTGAATTTTGAGTGGAAAAAAGGGAATTTTTTGGGGAAGAAAAGGGAATTTTGAGTGGAAAAAAGGGAATTTTTTGGGGAGAAAAGGGAATTTTGAGGAGGAAAAAAACGAGATTTTGGGGGCAGAAAAATGGAATTTTTTGGGGGAGAAAAGGGAATTTTTTGGGGGGAGAAAAGGGAATTTTGAGTGGAGAAAAGGGAATTTTTTGGGGAGAAAAAGTGAATTTTGAGTGGAAAAAATGGAATTTTTGGGGGGAGAAAAGGGAATTTTGAGGAGAGAAAAGGGAATTTTTGGGGGAGAGAAAAGGAAATTTTGAGTGGAAAAAAGGGAATTTTTTGGGGAGCAAAGGGAATTTTGAGGAGAGAAAAGGGAATTTTTGGGGGCAGAAAAATTGAATTTTTTGGGGGAGAAAAGTGAATTTTGAGTGGTAAAAAGGAAATTTTTTGGGGAAGAAAAGGGAATTTTGAGGAGAGAAAAGGGAATTTTTGGGGGCAGAAAAATGGAATTTTTTGGGGAGAAAAAGTGAATTTTGAGTGGAAAAAAGGGAATTTTTTGGGGAGAAAAAGTGAATTTTAAGTGGAAAAAAGGGAATTTTTTGGGGGAGAAAAGGGAATTTTGAGTGGAAAAAAGGGAATTTTTTGGGGAGAGAAAAGGGAATTTTGAGTGGAAAAAAGGGAATTTTTTGGAGGGAGAAAAAGTGAATTTTAAGTGGAAAAAAGGGAATTTTTGGGGAGAAAAGGGAATTTTTTTGGGGAGAAAAAGTGAATTTTAAGTGAAAAAAAGGGAATTTTTTGGGTGCAGAAAAAGTGAATTTTGAGTGGAAAAAAGGGAATTTTTGGGGGGAGAAAAGGGAATTTTGAGGAGAGAAAAGGGAATTTTTGGGGGCAGAAAAATGGAATTTTTGGGGGGCAGAAAAGGGAATTTTGAGTGGAAAAAAGGTAATTTTGGGGCTAAAAAGGGGTAATTTGGGTCCGTGGCGCAGGTTCCTGGAGGCGGGGCCGGGGCAGGACTCGGCGCGGATCCCGCAGAGCGAAATCGCCCAAAACGTCGACATCAACAGCGCCACAAAGGTGGGACGGGAATTGGGGGGAAAAGGGGAAATTTGGGGAAAAATGGGATTTGGGGGGGAAAATGGGGATTTGGGGGGAAAAATGGGATTTTGGGGGGGAAAATGGGGTTTTGGGGGAAAAAATTGGGATTTTTTTGGGGGAAAAATTGGGATTTTGGGGGCAAAAAATGGAAATCTGGGGGGAAAAGTGGGATTTTGGGGCAAAAAACGGAGATTTGGGGGAAAAAAAGGGAATTTGGGAGAGAAAAATGGAAATTTGGGGGGAAAATGGGAATTTTTGGGGGAAAAAATGGGATTTTGGGGGGGTAAATGGGATTTTGGGGGAAAAAATGGGGATTTTGGGGGGGAAAATGGGATTTTGGGGGAAAAAATGGGGATTTTGGGGGGGAAAATGGGATTTTGCGGGGGGGGAAAATGGGATTTTGGGGAGGGAAAGATGGGATTTTTTTGGGGGAAAAATGGGATTTTGGGGGGGAAATGGGATTTTGGGGGAAAAAAAAATGGGGATTTTGGGGGAAAAAAATGGGGATTTTTGGGGCAAAAAATGGAGATTTGGGGGGAAAAAGGGAATTTGGGAGAGAAAAATGGGGATTTGGGGAGAAAATGGGAATTTGGGAGGGAAAATGGGATTTTGGGGGGAAAAATGGGGATTTGGGGGGGAAAATGGGATTTTTGGTGGGAAAATGGGAATTTGGGGGGGAAAACTGGGATTTTGGGGGGAAAAACGGGATTTTGGGGATAAAAATGGGATTTTTGGGGGGGAAAATGGGATTTTGGGGGGAAGTGGGATTTTGTGGGGGAAAATGGGAGTTTGGGGTGGAAAATGGGAATTGGGGGAAAATGGGTTTTTTTGGGGAAAAATGGGATTTTGGGGGGGAGAAATTGGATTTTTGGGGGGAAAATGGGGATTTTTGTGGGGGAAAAGGGATTTTTCTGGTGAAAATGAGGATTTTTGGGGCAAAAAATGGTGTTTTGGGGGGAAAAAAGGGAATTTGGGAGAGAAAATGGGGATTTGGGGAGAAAATGGGAATTTGGGGAGGAAAATGGGATTTTGGGGGGAAAATGGAGATTGGGGGGGGAAATTTGATTTTGGGGGGAAAATGTGTATTTGGGGAGAAAATGGGGATTTGGGGGGGGAAACGGGATTTTGGGGGGATAAAATGGGATTTTGGGGGGAAAATGGGAATTTTGGGGGGAAATGGGATTTTGTGGGGGAAAATGGGAGTTTGAGGTGGAAAATGGGAATTGGGGGAAAAATGGGATTTTGGGGGAAAAAATGGGGATTTGGGGGGGAAAATGGGATTTTGGGGGGTGAAATGAGGAAAAATGTGGGGAAAATGGAGATCTGGGGGGGAAATAGGGATTTTGGAGAAAAAAAGATGATTTGGGGGGGAAATGGGAATTTTTGGGTAAAAATGGGATTTTGTGAGGGAAAAATGGGGTTTTAGGGGGAAAATGGGAATTTGGGGGGGAAAATGGGGATTTGGGGGGGGGAAATGGGATTTTGGAGGGAAAATGGGATTTTGGGGGACAAAAATGGTATTTTTAAGAGGGTAAATGGGATGTTGGGTGGAGAAAACAGGGATTTTTGGGGGGAAAAGTGGAGATTTTGGGGGAAAAATGGGATTTTGGGGGGAAAAATGGGATTTTTGGGGCAAAAAATGGAGATTTGAGGAAAAAAGGGAATTTGGGAGAGAAAAATGGAAATTTGGGGGGAAAAATGGGAATTTGGGAGGGAAAAATGGAAATTTGGTGGGGAAAATAGAGATTTTGGGGGGGAAAATGGGATTTTGGGGGGGAAAATGAGGATTTGGGGGGGAAAATGGGATTTTGGGGGAAAAAATGGGGATTTTGGGAGAAAATTGGGGTTTGGGGGGGAAATTTTTGGGAAAGCTGGGATTTTTGGGATTGGTGGGAACTCTGGGAATGTTGGGAATTCTGGGAATCTTGGGAACGTTGGGAATGTGTGGAATTCTGGGAATGTCAGAAATCCCAGGAATGTCAGGAATTTTGGAAATGTTGGGAATTCTGGGAATGTCGGGAATTGTGGGAATGCTGGGAATTTTGGGAATGTTGGGAATTTGGGGATTCCAGGAATGTCAGGAGTCTTGGGAATATCGGGAATTTTGGGAATGTCGAGAATCCAAGGAATGTTAGGAATCCTGGGAATGCTGGGATTTCTGGGAACGTTGGGAATTTGGGGAATCCTGGGAACGTTGGGAATTTGGGGAATCCTGGGAACGTTGGGAATTTTGGGAATCCTGGGAACGTTGGGAACTCTGGGAATGTCGGGAATTTTTGGGAATGTCGGGATTTCTGTGAATTGCGGGAATTCCGTTCCCTGACCTGACCGGGGTTTGTTCTCAGCGCTTTGAGCTGCGCCTGGAGCAGTTCGGGCCCTACAGGCTGGACTACAGCCGGAACGGCAGGTGAGAACCAGTACGGACCAGTACGGACCAGTACAGACTGATAGAAACCAGTATGGACCAGTACGGACCAGTATGGACCAGTACAGACTGATACAGACTGATACAGACCAGTATGGACCAGTATGGACCAGTATGGACTGAGACAGACCAGTACGGACTGATATAACCCAGTACAGACCAGTATATACCAGTACAGACTGACAGAAACCAGTACAGACCAGTACGGACTACAGCCGGAACGGCAGGTGAGAACCAGTACGGACCAGTATGGACCAGTATGGACCAGTATGGACTGATACAGACCAGTACATACCAGTACGGACTGATACAGACCAGTACATACCAGTACGGACTGATACAGACCAGTACATACCAGTACGGACTGATACAGACCAGTACATACCAGTACGGACTGATACAGACCAGTATAGACCAGTACGGACTGATACAGACTGCTATAGACCAGTGCGGACTGATACAGACCAGTATAGACCAGTACGGACTGATACAGACCAGTACAGACCAGTACGGACTACAGCCGGAACGGCAGGTGAGAACCAGTATAGACCAGTATAAACCAGTACGGACCAGTACAGACTGATACAGACCAGTACAGACCAGTACAGACTGCTATAGACCAGTACAGACCAGTACAGACTACAGCCGGAACGGCAGGTGAGAACCAGTATAAACCAGTATAAACCAGTATAGACCAGTACGGACTGATACAGACCAGTATAAACCAGTACAGACTGATATAACCCAGTACAGACCAGTATAAACCAGTACAGACTGCTATAGACCAGTACGGACTGACAGAAACCAGTACAGACCAGTACAGACCAGTACGGACTGATAGAAACCAGTACAGACCAGTACAGACCAGTACGGACTGACAGAAACCAGTACAGACCAGTACAGACCAGTACGGACTGATAGAAACCAGTACAGACCAGTACAGACCAGTACGGACTGATAGAAACCAGTACAGACCAGTACAGACCAGTACAGACCAGTACGGACTGATATACAGACCAGTATAAACCAGTACAGACTGACAGAAACCAGTACAGACCAGTACGGACTACAGCCGCACCGGCAGGTGAGAACCAGTACGGACCAGTATGGACCAGTACGGACCAGTATGGACTGCTATAGACCAGTATGGACCAGTATGGACCAGTACGGACTGATAGAAACCAGTACAGACCAGTACGGACTGATAGAAACCAGTATGGACTGATACAGACCAGTATGGACTGATACAGACCAGTACAGACCAGTACAGACTGTTATAGACCAGTACAGACCAGTACAGACTGATATAGACCAGTACAGACCAGTACGGACTACAGCCGCACCGGCAGGTGAGAACCAGTATGGACCAGTATAAACCAGTACGGACCAGTATGGACTGATACAGACCAGTACGGACCAGTACAGACTGATACAGACCAGTACAGACTGCTATAGACCGGTACAGACCAGTACAGACTGCTATAAACCAGTACAGACCAGTACGGACTACAGCCGCACCGGCAGGTGAGAACCAGTATGGACCAGTATGGACCAGTACGGACTGATACAGACCAGTACGGACTGATAGAAACCAGTACAGACCAGTACGGACCAGTACGAACCAATTCCCTCCCAGTCCCTCCCAGTCCCTCCCAGTTCCCTCCCAGTGTTCCCAGTCCCTCCCAGTCCGTCCCAGTCCATCCCAGTCCATCCCAGTCCCTCCCAGTAATCCCAGTTTGCAGGCAGCTGGTACTGGGAGGGTCACGTGGCCCATCCCAGTCCCTCCCAGTCCATCCCAGTAAGTCCCAGTTTGCAGGCAGCTGGTACTGGGAGGGTCACATGGCCCATCCCAGTCCATCCCAGTCCATCCCAGTAAGTCCCAGTTTGCAGGCAGCTGGTACTGGGAGGGTCACATGGCCCATCCCAGTCCATCCCAGTCCATCCCAGTAATCCCAGTTTGCAGGCAGCTGTTACTGGGAGGGTCACATGGCCCATCCCAGTCCATCCCAGTCCATCCCAGTAATCCCAGTTTGCAGGCAGCTGTTACTGGGAGGGTCACATGGCCCATCCCAGTCCATCCCAGTAATCCCAGTTTGCAGGCAGCTGTTACTGGGAGGGTCACATGGCCCATCCCAGTCCCTCCCAGTCCATCCCAGTCCCTCCCAGTAAATCCCAGTTTGCAGGCAGCTGTTACTGGGAGGGTCACATGGCCCATCCCAGTCCCTCCCAGTCCCTCCCAGTAATCCCAGTTTGCAGGCAGCTGTTACTGGGAGGGTCACATGGCCCATCCCAGCCCATCCCAGTCCATCCCAGTAAATCCCAGTTTGCAGGCAGCTGTTACTGGGAGGGTCACATGGCCCATCCCAGTCCCTCCCAGTAAATCCCAGTTTGCAGGCAGCTGTTACTGGGAGGGTCACATGGCCCATCCCAGTCCATCCCAGTCCATCCCAGTAATCCCAGTTTGCAGGCAGCTGTTACTGGGAGGGTCACATGGCCCATCCCAGTCCCTCCCAGTAAATCCCAGTTTGCAGGCAGCTGGTACTGGGAGGCCGCTGGGGTCACGTGGCCGCTCTGGACTGGGCCCAGCGGCGCCTCCTGAGCGAGTTCAGCGTGGGAGAACCAGTGCAGGACCTCAGGTGGGACTGGGAGCACTGGGAGCAGCACTGGGAGGGACTGGGGATACTGGGAGCACTGGGAGGGACTGGGGAGAACCAGTGCAGGACATCAGGTGGGACTGGGAACACTGGGAGGGACTGGGAGGGACCTCAGGTGGGACTGGGGATACTGGGGGGGACTGGGAGGGACTGGGGGGAACCAGTGCAGGACCTCAGGTGGGACTGGGGATACTGGGAGGGACTGGGAGGGACTGGGAACACTGGGGAGAACCAGTGCGGGACCTCAGGTGGGAACTGGGAGCACTGGGAGGGACTGGGAGGGAACTGGGAGCACTGGGGAGAACCAGTGCAGGACCTCAGGTGGGAACTGGGAGCACTGGGATGCACTGGGGGGGACTGGGAGTGAACTGGGAGGGACTGGGATGGACTGGGAGGGACTGGGAGCACTGGGAGTGAACTGGGAGCACTGGGATGCACTGGGAGGGACTGGGATGAACTGGGAGGACTGGGAGTGAACTGGGAGGGACTGGGAGTGAACTGGGATGAACTGGGAGAGACTGGGAAGGGACTAGGAGGAACTGGAAGGGACTGGGAGGGACTGGGAGCACTGGGAGGAACTGGGAGGGACTGTGAGGGACTGGGAAGAACTGGGAGGGACTGGGATGAACTGGGAGGGAACTAGGAGGGACTGGGAGTGAACTGGGAGCACTGGGAGGGACTGGGATGAACTGGGAGGGAACTGGGGGGGACCTCAGGTGGGACTGGGAGGGATTGGGAAGGACTGGGAGTTACTGGGACAAACTGGGAGTGAACTGGGATGAACTGGGAGAGACTGGGAAGGGACTAGGAGGAACTGGAAGGGACTGGGAGCACTGGGAGGGAACTGGGAGCACTGGGAGTGACTGGGGGGGACTGGGAGCACTGGGAAGTTTCTGGGAGCACTGGGAGGTTACTGGGAGCACTGGGAGGGAACTGGGAGGTTACTGGGAGCACTGGGATGAACTGGGGGGGACTGGCTCCATTTTCCCCCCAAAATCCCCATTTTCCCCCCAAAATCCCCATTTTTCCCCCAAAAATCCCCATTTTCCCCCCAAAATCCCCATTTTTCCCCCAAAAATCCCCATTTTTCCCCAAAATTCCCATTTTTCCCCCAAAAATCCCCATTTTCCCCCCCAAAATCCCCATTTCTCCCCCCAAATCCCTGCATTTTCCCCCCAAAATCCCTATTTTTCCCCCCAAAATCCCCATTTTTTCCCCCAAAAATCCCCATTTTTCCCCAAAATTCCCATTTTTCCCCCAAAAATCCCCATTTTCCCCCCCAAAATCCCCATTTCTCCCCCCAAATCCCTGCATTTTCCCCCCAAAATCCCTATTTTTCCCCCCAAAATCCCCATTTTTCCCCCAAAAATCCCCATTTTTCCCCCAAAATCCCCGTTTTTTTTCCCCCCAGCCCCCCATAATTTCCCCAAATCCCCATTTTTTCCCAAAATCCCCATTTTTCGCCCCAAATCCTGCAGGTGGCTGCACAGCGAGGCGCTGCTGGCGGTGGCGCAGCGTCGCTATCTGCACATCTACGACAGCCAGGGCCTGGAGATCCACGTGCTGCCGGAATTCCAGGGAATCCTGCGCCTGGAATTCCTGCCCTGGCACTTCCTGCTCGCTGCCGTGGTCAGTCGGGGGAAAAACACGAAATTTGGGGAAAAAACGGCCAAATTTGGGCAAAAATCACCATTTTTTGTCTCTTTAGTTACCATTTTTTGGGTCATTTTTTGGCTGCTGCCGGAATTCCAGGGAATCCTGCACCTGGAATTCCTGCCCTGGCACTTCCTCCTCGCTGCCGTGGTCAGTCGAGGGAAAAACCTGAAATTTGGGGAAAAAACCCCGAAATTTGGGGAAAAAATGAGCAAATTTGGGCAAAAATCGCCTTTTTTTTACCCTTCTTGGCCGATTTTTCCATGGATTTTGCCCATTTTTGGCTGATTTTGGGAGGAATTTTCTGGGAATCCTGCACCTGGAATTCCTGCCCTGGCACTTCCTGCTCGCTGCCGTGGTCAGTGCTGGGGAAAAAACCCGAAATTTGGGGAAAAAATGAGCAAATTTGGGCAAAAATCGCCTTTTTTTTACCCTTCTTGGCCAATTTTTCCGTGGTTTTTGGGTGATTTTGGGAGGAATTTTCTGGGATTTTGCACCTGGAGTTCCTGCCCTGGCACTTCTTCCTCACTGCCGTGGTCAGTCCGCGATAAAAACCCAAAATTTGGGGAAAAAACCCCGAAATTTGGGGAAAAAATGAGCAAATTTGGGCAAAAATCGCCATTTTTTTACCCATCTTGGCCAATTTTTCCATGGTTTTTGAGTGATTTTGGGAGGAATTTTCTGGGATTCTGCACCTGAAATTCCTGCCCTGCCAATTCCTGCACAAAAACCCCAAAAGTTGGGAAAATTTGGGGCGATTTTGGCTGAAATTCACCAATTTTAGCAACTTTTTAACCATTTTGGCTGATTTTCCCATGGATTTTGCCCATTTCTGGGTCATTTTTTGGATGCTCCTGGAATTTCCTGGGAATTCTGCTCCTGGAATTTCTGTTCCTCCCCATTTTTCCCGCATTTCCACGTTTTTCCTGTTTCCTCCCCCCATTTCCCCCGTTTTTTCCCATTTCCTCTCCATTTTCCCCCCTTTTTTCCCATTTTCCCTGTTTTTTCCCATTTTCACTCATTTTTTCCCATTTCCCCGCTGTTTCCCCCAATTTTTTCCCATTTTCTTCTGTTTTGCCCCATTTTCCCCTCCATTTATTCCCATTTTCCTGCACTTCCCCCATTTCCCCCCTTTTCTTTCCCATTTTCCCCCATTTTTTCCTGTTTCCCCCATTTTTTCCTGTTTCCCCCATTTTTTCCCATTCCCCCCATTTTTTCCCATTTTCCCCCTTTTTTTCCCATTTCCCCCCATTTTTCCCCCTTTTCCTGATGTTTCCCCCCATTTTTCCCATTCCCCCCCATTTTTTCCTGTTTCTCCCCATTTTTCTTCATTTCCCCCCATTCTTTCCCGTTTCCCCGTTTTTCCCATTTCCCTGTGGTTTCACCCCATTTTCCCATTTCCCCTCTGTTTCCCCCGTTTTTCCCTGCTTTTCCCATTTCCCCATTTTTCCCCATTTTTTCCCATTTTTTCCTCTTTCACCCCATTCTTCTGTCCATTTATTCCCATTTTCCTGCACTTTTCCCACCTTTTCTTTCCCATTTCCTCCATTTTTTCCCCTTTTCCCGATGTTTACCCGTTTCCCCCCATTTTTTCCCGTTTCTCCCCTGTTTCACCCCATTTTTTCCTGTTCTGCCCCGTTTCCCCGCGGTTTCCCCCCGTTTTTCCCGTTTTTCCCATTTCTCCATGTTTTCCCCCCCCATTTTGCTCATTTCCCCTCCATGTTTTTCCCGTTTCTCCACATTTTTCTCCCATTTTTTTTCCCGTTTCCGCGCAGTCTCACCCCATTTCCCTCCCGTTATTTCCCGTTTCCCCACTGTTTTTCCCGTTTCCTTGCAGTCTCACCCCATGTTTTTCCCGTTTCCCCACGGTTTCACCCCGTGTTTTTCCCCCCATTTTTTCCCGTTTTTCCCATTTCCCCGTTTCCCCCCGTTTTTCCCGTTTCTGCGCGTTCTGACCCCGTTTTTTCCGTTATTTCCCGTTTCTGCGCCTTCTGACCCTGTTACTTCCCGTTTTGGCTCCTTCTGATCCCATTTTTCCCCATTTTTCCCCGTGTTTTTCCCGTTTCCCCCCGTTATTTCCTGTTTCCGCACGTTCTGACCCCATTTTACCCCCATTATTTCCTGTTTCGGTGCATTCTGATCCCGTTTTTCCCGTTTCAGTGCATTCTGACCCCGTTTCCCCCCCGTGTTTTTCCCATTCCAGTGCGTTCTGACCCCGTTATTTCCCATTTTCCCCCCGTTCTGACCCCGTTATTTCCCGTTTCCACACATTCTGACCCTATTATTTACCGTTTCCACACATTCTGACCCCGTTATTTCCCGTTTCGGTGCATTCTGACCCCGTTATTTCCCCGTTATTTCCCGTTTCCGCCTGTCCTGACCCCGTTATTTCCCGGCAGAGCTCCCGCGGTTTGCTGCGTTTCCTGGACGTGTCCGAGGGCCGGGCGGTGTCCTCGCTCCGTTTGCGCTGCGGCCGCGCGGCCGCCATGGCCCAGAGCCCCGCCAGCGCCAACGTCCTGCTCGGACACGCCAACGGTCAGTGCCAACGGGAAATTACCGGGAATTACCCACGGGAAACGGGAAACGGGAATTACCACCGGGAAATGGGGAATAACGGGGAGGAAACGGGGAATTACCACCCGGGAACGGGGAATAACCAACTGGGAACAGGGAATAACTGACCGGGAACGGGGAATAACCGCTCGGGAATGGGAAATAACCAACCGGGAACGGGAAATTACCGATGGGAAATGGGGAATTACCGACGGGAACGGGAATTACCGACCAGAAATAACGGGGGGGAAACGGGGAATAACCGACGGGAAATGGCCGGGAAACAGGGAATTACCAACTGGGAAACGGGAATTACCAACCAGAAATAACGGGGGGAAATCGCACGGGAAGGGGGAATTACCGACCGGGAACAGGAAATTACCGGGAAATGGGAAATAACGGGGGGAAACCAGCCGGGAACGGGGAATAACCACATGGGAATGGGAAATTACCCACAGGAACAGGAAATTACCCACGGGAAATGGGAAATAAAGGGGGGGAACCGCACGGGAACAGGGAATAACCGCACGGGAAACAAGAAATAACCAACCGGGAATGGGAAATTACCAACCAGAAATAACAGGGGGAAACCGACCGGGAACAGGAATTACCCACCAGGAATAACGGGGAATTACCGACCAGGAACGGGGAATAACCGACCGGGAACGGGAATTACTGGGAAATGGGAAATAACGGGGGGGAAACAGCCGGGAACGGGAAATTACCGACGGGAACAGGAAATTACCAACGGGAAATAACGGGGGAACGGCCAGGAATGGGGAATTACCGATCGGAAATGGGAAATAACTGACGGGAAACGGGAAATAACCGACGGGAAACGGGGAATTACCGACCGGGAACAGGAAATTACCCACCGGGAATAACGGGGAATAACCAACCGGGAACGGGAAATAACCGCACGGGAATAGGGAATAACTGCCCAGAAATGGGGAATAACCACACGGGAATGGGAAATAACCGACCAGGAACGGGGAATAACCACCTGGAAATGGGGAATAACAGGGGGGAAACGGGAAATAACGGGGGGAAATGGGAAATAATGGGGAGAAACCACCTGGAAACAGCAGAAAACTGGGGGAAAACGGGAAATAACGGGGGGAAATGGGAAATAACAGAGAGAAATCACCCAGAAATGGGAAATAACAGGGGGAAACAGGAAAAAACGGGGAGAAGCTGCCTGGAAACGGGAAAAACGGGGGGGAACGGGAAATAACGGGGGGAAATGGAAAATAACGGGGAGAAACTGCTGGGAAACAGGAAAAACAGGGGGAAATGGGAAATAACAGGGGTGAAATGGGAAATAATGGGGGGGAAACGGGAAATAATGGGGAGAAACTGCCTGGAAATGGGAAAAAACAGGGGGGAACCACCCGGAAATGGGAAAAAACGGGGGAACTGCCCGGAAATGGGAAAAATGGGGGGGGGGATGGGAAATAACGGGGAGAAATCGCCCAGAAATGGGAAATAATGGGGGGAAATGGGAAATAACGGGGGGAAATGGGAAAAAATGGGGGAAAAAGGGAAATAACAGGGGGAAACAGGAAATAACGGGGAGAAATGGGAAATAAGGGGGAGAAATGGGAAAAAATTGAGGGAAATGGGAAATAACGGGGGGGAACGGGAAATAACAGGGGAGAAATGGGAAATAACGGGGGGAAACTGCCGGGAAACGGGAAAACGGGGGGGGGAACAGGAAATAATGGGGGGAAATGGGAAATAACGGGGGGAAATGGGAAATAACGTGGGGAAATGGGAAATAACGGAGATTTTATCGGATTTTGGGGGTTCCTGGTTGAATTTGGGAGATTTTTTCAGATTTTGGGAGGTTCCCATTGGGACTTGGGGGGAATTCTCCAGATTTTGGGGGTTTCTGATGGAATTTGGAACTTCCCCCTTGGATTTGTGAGATTTCCTCGGATTTCAGGAAAATCCTCTTGGATCTGAGGGAGAAAATTTTGGGGAAATTCCAGCGAATTTTCTTGGGGACATTTCCTCGACGTTTTTTGGAATTTTCGCCCTTTTAACTCCAAATTTCCGGGATTTTTTTTTTTTTTTTGTGATTTTTTGGGGTTTTTTTTGATGTTTTTCCATTTTCCCTTTCCCAAAATCCGGTTTTTTTCCCCAGGAGTGGTTTCCATGTGGACGCCCAACACGGAGGAGCCGGTGCTGCGGCTGCTGGCGCACCGCGGCTCCGTGCGCGGCCTGGCCGCCGACGCCGCCGGCAGGTGGGAGTGACGGAATTACGGGAATGAGGGGGGATTTGGGGGGATTTCCAGGGATTTGGGGCTTTTTGGGGGGATTTCCACAGATTTGGCTGGATTTCATGGATTGTGGCAGGATTTTGGAGGGATTTTGTTGGATTTTGCGGTGAATTTTGTTGGAATTTGGTGGGATTTCCGTGGATTTGGTGGGATTTCCATGGATTTGGGACTTTTTGGGGGGATTTCCATGGATTTTGGTGGGATTTGGTGGGATTTCCGTGGATTTGGGGATTTCGCTGGGTTTGGTTGGACTTCCATGGATTTGGTTGGATTTCCGTGGATTTGGTGGAATTTTGGGGGGATTTCCATGGATTTGGTGAGATTTTGGTGGGATTTTGTTGGATTTTGTGGTGAATTTTGTTGGATTTTGGTTGGATTTCCATGGATTTGGTGGGATTTCCATGGATTTATGGGGATTTTGGGGGCATCTCCATGGATTTTGGTTGTATTTCCATGAATTTGGAGGGATTTTGGGGTGGATTTCCATGGATTTTGGTAGGATTTTGTTGGATTTTGTGGGGAATTGTGTTGGATTTTGGTGGGATTTCCATGGATTTGGGGATTTCGTTGGGTTTCGTTGGATTTCCATGGATTTGGTGGGATTTTGGGGGGATTTCCATGGATTTGGGGCTTTTGGGGGGGATTTCCATGGATTTTGTTGGATTTTGGTGGGATTTTGGTGGGATTTTGTTGGATTTTGCAGGGAATTTTGTTGGATTTTGGCTGGATTTCCATGGATTTGATGGGATTTTGTTGGATTTTGTGGGGAATTTTGATGGATTTGGTGGGATTTCTGTGGATTTGGGGATTTCGCTGGGTTTGGTTGGATTTTCATGGATTTGGTGGGATTTCCATGAATTTGGGGGGATTTCCATGGATTTGGTGGGATTTTGTTGGATTTTGCGGTGAATTTTGTTGGATTTTGGTGGGATTTCCATGGATTTGGGGATTTTGGTGGGATTTCCATGTATTTTGGTAGGATTTTGTTGGATTTTGTGGGGAATTTTGGTGGATTTTGGTGAGATTTCCATGGATTTGGGGATTTCGTTGGGTTTCGTTGGATTTCCATGGATTTGGTTGGATTTCCATGGATTTGGTGGGATTTTGGGGGGATTTCCATGGATTTTGGTGGGATTTTGTGGGGAATTTTGTTGGATTTTGGTGGGATTTCCATGGATTTGGGGATTTCGCTGGGTTTGGTTGGATTTCCATGGATTTGGGGCTATTTGGGGGCATTTCCGTGGATTTGGGGCTTTTGGGGGGATTTCCATGGATTTTGGTAGGATTTTGTTGGATTTTGCGGTGAATTTTGTTGGATTTTGGTGAGATTTCCATGGATTTGGGGATTTCGTTGGATTTCCATGGATTTGGTTGGATTTCCATGGATTTGGGGGGATTTTGGGGTGGATTTCCATGGATTTTGGTGGGATTTTGTGGGGAATTGTGTTGGATTTTGTGGGGATTTCCGTGGATTTGGTTGGATTTCCGGGTATTTGGGGATTTCGCTGGGTTTGGTTGGACTTCCATGGATTTGGTTCGATTTCCATGGATTTGGTGGGATTTTGGGGGAATTTCCATGGATTTGGGGTGATTTCCAATGATTTGGGGGGAGTTTTGATGGAGATTTTGGGGGGATTTCCATGAATTTTGGGGGATTTCCATGGATTTGGGGGGATTTTGTTGGATTTTGTGGGGAATTTTGTTGGATTTTGGGGGGATTTCCATGGATTTGGGGTGATTTTTGATGGGGATTTCAGGGACATTTCCATGGATTTGATGGGATTTTGGGGACATTTTGGTGGGATTTCCGTGGATTTTGGGGGGATTTCCACGGATCTGGGGGGGGGTTTTGTGGATTTGGTTGGATTTCCATGGATTTTGGGGGATTTTGGGGGAAGTTCCATGGATTTTGGGGGTTTGGAGGGATCTTTGTGGGATTTCCATGGATTTGGTTGGATTTCCATAGATTTGAGGGGATGTTGATGGGATTTCCATGGATTTGGTGGGATTTTGGGGGGATTTCCATGGATTTGGGGTGATTTCCATGGATTTGGGGTGATTTCCATGGATTTTTGGGGGGATTTCCACGGATTTGGGGGGATTTTGGTGGGACTTTTGATGGAGATTTTGGGGGGATTTCCATGGATTTTGGTGGGATTTTGTTGGAATTTTGTTGGATTTTGAGGGGAATTTTGTTGGATTTTGGTGGGATTTTTTGTGGATTTGGTGGGATTTTGGGGGGATTTCCATGGATTTGGTTGGATTTCCATGGATTTCGTTGGATTTCTATGGATTTTGGGCAGATTTTGGCTTGCCATATTTTGGGTGAATTTTGTGGGATTTGGGCTGCCCTGCAGGCTGATGGGTGGGATTTTGGGGTGGATTTTGGGCAGATTTTGGTTAAATTTTGTGGAATTTGGGCAGATTTTGGGGTGGATTTTGGGAGGTTTTAGGGTGGATTTTTGTCAGATTTGGGGTGAATTTTGGGTGAATTTTGGGTGGATTTTTGCCTGATTTTGGGTGAATTTTCTGGAATTTGGCCTCTCCTGCAGCCTGATGCGTGGGATTTTGTGGTGGATTTTGGGGTGGATTTTGGGATTATTTTGGGGCACATTTTGGGCAGATTTTGGCTGATTTTTCTGGAATTTGGGCTCCCTGTGCAGGCTGATGGGTGGGATTTTGGGGTGAATTTTGGGCACATTTTGGGTTGGATTTTGGGGTGAATTTTGGGGGATTTTTGCTCCCCTGCAGGCTGATGGGTGAATTTTGGGGTGAATTTTGGGAGGATTTGGGGTGAATTTTGGGGTGAATTTTTGTCCATTTTGGGGCGTATTTTGGCCGAATTTTGGCTGAATTTTGTGGGATTTGGGCTCCCTGTGCAGGCTGATGGGTGGGATTTTGGAATGGATTTGGGGATTATTTTGGGGCACATTTTGGGCAGATTTTGGCTGATTTTTCTGGAATTTGGGCTCCCTGTGCAGGCTGATGGGTGGGATTTTGGGGTGGATTTTGGGTACATTTTGGAGTGAATTTGGGGTGAATTTTTGTCCAATTTGGGGTGAATTTTGGGCACATTTTGGGGCAGATTTTTGCCTGATTTTGGCTGAATTGTGTGGATTTTTGCCTCCCTGTGCAGGCTGATGGGTGGGATTTTGGGGTGAATTTTGGGAGGTTTTGGGGTGAATTTTGGGGCAGATTTTTGCCAGATTTTGGCTGAATTGTGTGGATTTTTGCCTCGCTGTGCAGGATGATGGGTGGGATTTTAGGGTGAATTTTGGGAGGTTTTAGGGTGAATTTTGGGGTGAATTTTTGTCCAATTCGGGGTGAATTTTGGGCACATTTTGGGGTGGATTTTGGGGTGAATTTTGGCTGAATTTTGCGGGATTTTTGCTCCCCTGCAAGTTGATGGGTGGGATTTTGGGGTGAATTTTGGGTGGTTTTGGGGTGGATTTTTGTCCAATTCGGGGTGAATTTTGGGCACATTTTGGGGCAGATTTTGGCTGAATTTTGTGGAATTTTTGCTCCCCTGCAGGCTGATGGGTGGGATTTTGGGGTGAATTTTGGGAGGTTTTAGGGTGAATTTTGGGGTGAGTTTTTGTCCATTTTGGGGTGAATTTTGGGAGGTTTTGGGGCGAATTTTGGGGTGAGTTTTTGTCCATTTTGGGGTGGATTTTGGCCGAATTTTGGCTGAATTTTGCAGGGTTTGGGCTCCCCTGCCGGCTGATGGGTGGGATTTTGGGGTGATTTTTGTCCATTTTGGGGTGAATTTTGGGGTGGATTTTGGGGTGAATTTTGGCTGAATTTTGGGGGATTTTTGCTCCCCTGCGGGCTGATGGGTGGGATTTTGGGGTGAATTTTGGGGTGAATTTTTGTCCAATTCGGGGTGAATTTTGGGAGATTTTGGGGCGTATTTTGGCCGAATTTTGGGGGATTTTTGCTCCCCTGCAGGCTGATGGGTGGGATTTTGGGGTGAATTTTGGGAGGTTTTGGGGTGAATTTTGGGGCGTATTTTGGCTGAATTTTGGGTGAATTTTGGGGGATTTTTGCTCCCCTGCAGGCTGATGGGTGGGATTTTGGGGTGGATTTTTGGGTGAATTTTGGGCACATTTTGGGGCGTATTTTGGCCGAATTTTGGGTGAATTTTGTGGAATTTGGGCTCCCCTGCAGGCTGATGGGAGGGATTTTGGGGTGGATTTTGGGTACATTTTGGAGTGAATTTGGGGTGAATTTTTGTCCAATTCGGGGTGAATTTTGGGCACATTTTGGGGCGGATTTTGGCTGAATTTTGGCTGATTTTTCTGGAATTTGGGCTGCCCTGCAGGCTGATGGGTGGGATTTTGGGGTGGATTTTGGGAGGTTTTGGGGTGAATTTTTGTCCATTTTGGGGCGGATTTTGGCTGAATTTTTGGGGATTTTTGCTCTTTGTGCAGGCTGATGGGTGGGATTTTGGGGTGGATTTTTATCAGATTTGGGGTGAATTTTGGGTGGATTTTGGGTGGATTTTTGCCCGATTTTGGCTGATTTTTCTGGAATTTGGGCTCCCTGTGCAGGCTGATGGGAGGGATTTTGGGGTGGATTTTGGGAGGTTTCGGGGTGAATTTTTGTCCATTTTGGGGTGAATTTTGGGAGGTTTTGGGGTGGATTTTGGGGCGTATTTTGGCTGAATTGTGTGGATTTTTGCCTCCCCTGCAGGCTGCTGGGTGGGATTTTGGGGTGAATTTTGGGCACATTTTGGGGTGTATTTTGGCCGAATTTTGGGTGAATTTTGGGGGATTTTGGCTCCCCTGCAGGCTGCTGGGTGGGATTTTGGGGTGGATTTTGGGGTGAATTTTTGTCCATTTTGGGGCGTATTTTGGGTGAATTTTGGGTGAATTTTGGGGGATTTTTGCTCCCCTGCAGGCTGCTGGGTGGGATTTTGGGGTGGATTTTGGGGTGGATTTTTGTCCATTTTGGAGTGAATATTGGGGTGGATTTTGGCTGAATTTTGGGTGAATTTTGTGGGATTTTGGCTCCCCTGCAGGCTGCTGGCCACGTCGGGGCTGGACCGGAAAATTCGCATTTTCGACCTGCGGAATCTGGGGGTGCTGCAGGAGTGGGGGGTCCCGGCGGGGGCGGCGCTCCTCGACTTCAGCCAGAGGGGATTGCTGGCGGCCGCCTGCGGGGACCTGCTGCAGGTCAGAAAAAACACCCCAAAATAAACAAAAATAACCCAAAATACACAAAAATAACCCCAAAATAACCCCAAATACACAAAAATAACACCAAATAACCCCGAATACACAAAAATAACCCAAAATAACCCCAAATACACAAAAATAACACCAAATAACCCCGAATACACAAAAATAACCCAAAATAAACCCGAATACACAAAAATAACCCAAAATAACCCCCAAATACACAAAAAACACAAAATACCCAAAAATACCACAAACATGCCCCAAAAACCCCACAAAAATACCCAAAAAACCCACAAAAATACCCCAAAAAACACAAAAATACCCCCAAAATATCCCCAAAAAACACAAAAATACCCAAAAATACCACAAACATGCCCAAAAAAACCCCACAAAAATACCCCAAAAACCACAAAAATAGCCCAAAAAACCACAAAAATACCCCCAAAATATCCCAAAAAACCACAAAAATACCCAAAAAAACCACAAAAATACCCCAAAAACCACAAAAATACCCAAAAATTCCCAATAAACATCCCAGATATACCTCCAAAATACCCTAAAATACCCCGAAGAATACCCAGAATACCCCCAAAAATACCCCAAAAATATTAAAAATAGCCCCAAAATACCCCAAAAAATAGAAAATACTCCAAAACCCCCCAAAAAAATCCCAGAAATGCCCCCAAAATACACAAAAAAGCCCAAAAAACCCCATAAAACACAAAAATACATACACAAAAATTCCCAAAAGACACCCAGAAATACCCCAAAAATATCCCAAAACACCAAAAATTCCCAATAAATACTCCAGAAATACCAAAAAAATACCCGAAATACCTTAAAATACCCCAAAAATACAAAAAATCCCCAAAATACCCCAAAAATTCCCAAGAAACATCCAGAAATACCCAAAAAATATCCCAAACCCCCAAAAATTCCCAATAAACCCCCCAGAAATACCTCAAAAATACCCCAAAAATACCCTAAAAAAACCCCAAAAAATAAAAAAAAATCAAAAATACTCCCAAAATACTCCAAATACTCCAAAAACCATCAAAAAATCCCAAAAATGCCCCCAAAATACCCAAAAAATACAAAAAAATCCCCAAGATACCCCAAAAAACACAAAAATACCCAAAAATTCCCAAAATGCACCCAGAAATACCCAAGAAATAGCACAAAACCCCAAAAATTCCCAATAAACACCCCAAAAATACCTCAAAAATACCGCAAAAATATCCTAAAATACCCCAAAAATTAAAAAAAAATCAAAACCACCCCCCAAATACCCCAAAATACCCCCCCAAAGAAACCCAAACCAAAATACTCCAAAAACCATAAAAAACCCCAAAAATGCCCCCAAAATACCAAAAAAAATTACAAGAAAAAACCCCAAGATACCCCAAAAACCACAAAAATACCCAAAAAACCCCAAGAAATATCCCAAACCCAAAAAATTCCCAATAAACACAAAAATACCCAAAAAACCACAAAAATACCCAAAAATTCCCAAAAGACACCCAGAAATACCCCAAAAATTCCCAATAAACCCCCCAGAAATACCCAAAAAATACCCCAAATACCTTAAAATACCCCAAAAAATACAAAAAAAACCCAAAATACTCTGAAAACAAACAAACAAACAAACCCCAAAAAATTCCCCCAAAATACCCAAGAAATACCCAGAAAAAAACAGAAATACCCAAAAAAACCACAGAAATACCCATAAATACACCAAAAATATCCCAAAATCCCCAAAAAACACCCCAGAAATACCCCAAAAATATGAAAAATCACCCAAAAATACAAAAAATACCCCACCCCAAAAAAAAAACCCAAAAAAGACCCCAAAATAATTCGAAAACCCCAAAAATACCCAAAAAAATGCAAAATACCCCAAAAATACCTAAAAATTCCCAAAAGACACCCAGAAATACCCAAAAAATATCCCAAAACCCCAAAAATTCCCAATAAACACCCCAGAAATACCTCCAAAATATCCGAAAATACCAAAAAAATACCCCCAGAATACCCCCAAAAATACCCCCAGAATACCCCCAAAAATACTCCCAAAATACCCCAAAAATACCCAAAAATATTTAAAAATACCCAAAAATACAAAAAATACCCCCAAAATACCCTAAAAAAAAAAAAATGCTCCAAAACCCCCCCCAAAAATCCCATAAATGCCCCCAAAATGCCCAAAAGATGCCCAAAAAAACCCCAAAAACCACAAAAATACCCAAAAAATAAAAAAAAAAACCCAAAAATATCCCCAAACCCTAAAAATTCCCAATAAACACCCCAGAAATACCTCAAAAATACCCCCCAAAACCCCCAGAATACCCAAAAAAATTCAAAACTACACAAAAAATACCAAAAAATACCCCAAAAAAACCCAAAAAGATGAAAAAATGCTGAAAAATACAAAAAATAGCGCAAAAAAAAAAAACCCCAAAAATACAAAAATACACAAAAATACTTCAAAAACCCCAAAAATACCCAAGAAATGCCCCAAAAAAACCCCAAAATACCCCAAAAACCCCCAAAATACCAAAAAAAATCCCAAAAATCACCCAGAAATACCCAAAAAATATCCCAAACCCCCAAAAATTCTCAATAAACACCCCAGAAATACCCCAAATATATGAAAAATCACCCAAAAATACAAAAAATCACCCAAAAATAAAAAAAACACCAAAAATACAAAAAAAGACCCCGAAATACTTCGAAAACCCCAAAAATACCCCAAAAATACAAAAAAATCCATAATACCCCAAAAACCACAAAAATACCCCAAAATTCCCAAAAGACACCCAGAAATATGCCACAAACATCCCAAAACCACAAAAATTCCCAATAAACCCCCCAGAAATACCTCAAAAATACCCCAAAAATACCCTAAAATAACCCCCCAAAAACACCAAACCAAAATACTCCAAAAACCATTAAAAAATCCCAAAAATGCCCCCGAAATACAAAAAAAAACCCCAAATATTCCCCAAAAAACACAAAAATACCCAAACATTCCCAAAAAAATCCAAGAAATACCCCAAAAATATCCCAAAAACCACAAAAATTCCCAATAAACACAAAAATACCCAAAAAACCACAAAAATACCCAAAAATTTCTGAAAGACACCCAGAAATACCCCAAAAATTCCCAATAAACACTCCAGAAATACCTCCAAAAATACCCTAAAATACTTTAAAATACCCCAAAAATACAACAAATAAAAAAAAAAAATCCCAAAAAAACCCCAAAAATACTGCAAAATATTTAACAACCCCTAAAAATACCCAAAAAACCACAAAAATACAAAAAAAGCCCCAAAATTCTCTGAAAACCCAAAAAAACCACCAAAATACCCAAAAGATACCCCAAAAATACCCAAAAACAGCCCAAAAACCCCACAAAAATACCAAAAAAATTCCCAAAAAACACCCCAAAATACCCCAAAAATGCCCAATAAACACCCCACAAATACCTCTAAAATACCCCGAAAATACCTGAAAAAACCCCAGAATACCCCCAAAAATATCCAAAACTACACAAAAAAGACCATTTCTTCACCCAAAACCCCCATTTCTTCACCTGAAATTCCGTTTTTTCCCCATTTTTCCCATTTTCCTGCAGATTCACCCCAAAATCCCCATTTTACCATCTCAAAAATCCCATTTTTCCCCCCAAAACCCCCAATTCCCCCCCCCCAAAACCCCCATTTTTCTCCCCAAAAATCCCATTTTTTCGCCCAAAATCCCCATTTTCCCCCCCAAAACCCCCATTTTTCCCGTTTTTTGGCAGATTTTCCCCAAACTGGACTCGGTTCCCCCCCCACCCATTCCTGTGGCACTGAACCCCGAACCCCCAAACCCCCAAACTCCTTTTTCCCTCCAAATCCCCTTTTCTTCCCCAAAATCCCAGAGTTATTGCCCAAAATCCCCATTTTCGCACCCAAAATCCTCTTTCTTCCCCAAAATCTCCATTTTTACTCCAAAATTCAGATTTTTTCTCCCAAAATCTCCATTTTATCATTTCAAAATGCCCATTTTCCCCCAAATCCCCATTTTTCCCCCAAATCCCCATTTTTCCCCCCAAAACCCCATTTTTTCCCCCAAATCCCCATTTTTTTCCAAAATCCCCATTTTTCCCCCCAAAACCCCATTTTTTTCCCAAAATTCTCATTTTTCCTCCCCAAATCCCCATTTTTTCCCCCAAAATCCCTGATTGCCCCTGCAAAATTCCCATTTTTCAGCCCAAATTCCCATTTTTTCCCCCTAAGTCCCCTTTTTTTCTCCCAAAATTCCCAATTTTTTGCCAAAATCCCTTTTTTATTCCCAAAATCCCCATTTTACCTTCTCAAAATTCACATTTTTCCCCCCAAAAACACCATTTTCCCCCCCAAAATCCCATTTTTCCCCTGCAGACTCCCAAAATCCCCGTTTTCACCCCAAAATCCCCATTTTTCCCCCAAATCCCCATTTTTTTCCTCAAAATCCCCATTTTTGTCTCCCCAAATTCCCCATTTTTCCCCCTTAATCCCCATTTTTTCCCCCAAAAATCCATTTTTTCCCTAAAATCCCCATTTTCAACCCAAAATCCCCATTTTTTTTGATTTCAAAATCCCAGTTTTTTAATTTCAAAATCCCATTTTTTTCCCAAAATCCCCCTTTTTTCCCCCAAAATCCAGAATTTTTTCCCCCCAAAAATCCCATTTTTCCCCCAAAAATCCCATTTTTCCCCCCAAAATCCCCATTTTTCCCCCCAAAAATCCCATTTTTCCCCCAAAAATCCCATTTTTTCACCCAAAATCCCCATTTTCACCCCAAAATCCCCATTTCTTTTCACCCCAAAATCCCCATTTTACCATCTCAAAATTCACATTTTACCCCCCAAAAATCCCATTTTTTCCCCCCAAATCCCCCTTTTTTTCCGAAAAATCCCCATTTTCACCACAAAATCCCCATTTTTTCCTCAAATCCCCAATTTCTTCACCCCAAAATCCCCATTTTATCATTTCAAAATTCTCAATTTTCCCCCTAAAATTCATATTTCTTCACCCAAAACCCCCATTTTCCCCCCCAAAAAATCCCATTTTTTCACCCAAAATCCCCATTTTTCCCCATTTTTCCCGTTTTTTGTCAGATTTACCCCAAACTGGGCTCGGTGTCCCCCCGCCCGTTCCTGGGGCACCGAACCCCCAAACCCCCAAACTCCTTTTTCAATCCAAATCCCCTTTTCCCCCCAAATCCCCTTTTTTCTGCCCAAAATTCTCATTTTTTCACCCAAAATTCTCATTTTTTCACCCAAAATCCCCATTTTTCCCCCAAAATGCCCATTTGCCCCCCAAATCCCCTTTTTTTTCCCAAAATCCCCATTTTTCCCCCAAAATCCCCATTTTTTCCCAAAATCCCCATTTTTTCATTCCAAAATCCCCATTTTACCATCTCAAAATTCTCAATTATCCCCCTAAAATTCAAATTTCTTCACCCAAAAACCCCATTTTTCCCCAAAAAAATCCCTTTTTTTTCACCCGAAATCCCCGTTTTCCCCCATTTTTCCCATTTTCCGGCAGATTTACCCCAAACCGGGCTCGGTGTCCCCGCCCCGGCCGTTCCTGTGTCACCGAACCCCCAAACCCCCAAACTCCTTTTTCAATCCAAATCCCCTTTTCCCCCCAAATCCCCTTTTTTCTGCCCAAAATTCTCATTTTTTCACCCAAAATCCCCATTTTCACCCCAAAATCCCCATTTTCACCCCAAAATCCCCAATTTCTTCACCCCAAAATCCCCAATTTCTTCACCCCAAAATCCCCATTTTATCATTTCAAAATTCTCAGTTTTCCCCCTAAAATTCACATTTCTTCACTCAAAAATCCCATTTTTTTTCCCTTAAAATTCACATTTCTTCACCGAAGAACCCCATTTTTCCCCCCAAAAATCCCATTTTTGCCCCCAAAAACCCCATTTTTTCACCCAAAATTCCCATTTTTTCCCCTGCAGATTCCCAAAATCCCCGTTTTTCCCCATTTTTCCCGTTTTCCGGCAGATTTACCCCAAATCCGGCTCGGTTCCGTCCCCCCGCCCGTTCCTGTGTCACCGCCTGCCCGGCCCCGCCCGGGGGCTGCGGTTCTGCCCCTTCGAGGACGTGCTGGGGGCGGGACACGGGCGGGGGTTCAGCAGCGTCCTCGTGCCAGGTGGGGTTTGGGGGGAAATTCGGGAATTTTGGGAAAATTCGGGAGAAAATTTGGGATTTTAACGTTAAAATTTGGGATTTTTGGGTGGCTTTTGGGGGTTTTAAATGGATTTTGGGGCCGGGCACAGCCAGGGGTTCAGCAGCGTCCTGGTGCCAGGTGGGATTTGGGGGGAAAATCCGGGATTTTGGGAAATTTGGGAGAAAATTCGGGATTTTTAGGTGAAAATTTGGGATTTTTACGTTAAAATTTGGGATTTTTGGGTGGATTTCTGGGGGTTTTGAATGCATTTTGGGGGGTTTCAGGTGGGTTTTGGGGCCAGGCTTCAGCAGCGTCCTGGTGCCAGGTGGGGCTTCAGGGATTTGGGGAAATTTTGGGAATTTTTGGGAATTTTGGGTGAAAATTTGGGGATTTTAACGTTAAAATTTGGGATTTCTGGGTGGATTTTGGGGCCATTTCCGGTGGATTTTTGGGGCCGGGCACAGCTGGGGGTTCAGCAGCGTCCTGGTGCCAGGTGGGGTTTGGTGGAAAATCTGGGATTTTGGGAAATTTGGGAATTTTGGGGGGAATTTCGGGTGAAAATTTGGGATTTTTGGGGGTTTTTAATGGATTTTTGGGGGGTTTTTGGGTGGGCTTTGGGACTGGGCTTCAGAGAATTTTTGGGAATTTTTGTTGAAAATTTGGGAATTTTACAAGAAAATTTGGGAATTTTAGGTGAAAATTTTGGAATTTTAGGGGAAAATTAGGGATTTCTGGGTGGATTTTGGGGGATTTTTGGGCCATTCCCAGTGGATTTTTAGGGATTTTTGGGGCGGGACACAGCCTGGGGTTCAGCAGCCTCCTCGTGCCAGGTGGGGTTTTGGGGGGAAATTCGGGAATTTTGGGAAAATCGGAAATTTTGGGTGAAAATTTGGGATTTTTACACTAATATTTGGGATTTCTGGGTGGATTTTGGGGGATTTTGGGGCCATTTCCGGTGGACTTTTGGGAATTTTTGGGGCTGGGCACGGGCTGGGGTTCAGAAGCGTCCTCGTGCCAGGTGGGATTTGGGGAAAAAATCTGGGATTTTGGGAAATTTGGGAGAAAATTTGGGAATTTTACATAAAAATTTGGGAATTTTACACGAAAATTTGGGATTTCTGGGTGGATTTTTCGGGGTTTAAAATGGATTTTGGGGCGGGACACAGGCGGGGGTTCAGCAGCGTCCTCGTGCCAGGTGGGAATTTGGGGGAAAATTCGGGGATTTTGGGAAAATTCGGGAATTTTAGGTGAAAATTTGGGATTTTAACGTTAAAATTTGGGATTTTTGGGTGGATTTCTGGGGGTTTTGAATGGATTTTGGGGGGTTTCAGGTGGATTTTGGGGCTGGGCTTCAGGAGCATCCTGGTGCCAGGTGGGGAATTCGGGAATTTTGGGGAATTTTGAAAATTTTTGGTGAAAATTTGGGAATTTTAGGGGAAAATTTGGGATTTTTGGGTGGTTTTTGGGGGTTTAAAATGGATTTTGGGGAGTTTAAAATTGATTTTTTTGGGGTTTTGGGTGGGCTTTGGGGCTGGGCTTCAGCAGTGTCCTGGTGCCAGGTGGGGTTTGGGGGGAAATTACGGGATTTTGGGAAAATTTGGGTGAAAATTTGGGAATTTTACATGAAAATTTGGGATTTTTACACTAAAATTTGGGATTTCTGGGTGGATTTTTCGGGGTTTTTAATGGATTTTGGGGCCGGACACAGCCGGGGCTTCAGCAGCGTCCTGGTGCCAGGTGGGATTTGGGGGGAAAATCTGGGATTTTGGGAAAATTGGGTGAAAATTTGGGAATTTTAGGTGAAAATTTGGGATTTTAACGTTAAAATTTGCGATTTCTGGGTGGATTTTGGGGGATTTTGGGGCCATTTCTGGTGGATTTTTGGGGCTGGGCACAGCCGGGGGTTCAGCAGCGTCCTGGTGCCAGGTGGGAATTGGGGGGAAATTACGGGATTTTGGGAAAATTGGGTGAAAATTTGGGGATTTTAGGTGAAAATTTGGGGATTTGGGGTTTCTGGGTGGATTTTGGGGGATTTTGGGGCCATTTCTGGTGGATTTTTGGGGCCGGACACAGCCTGGGGTTCAGCAGTGTCCTGGTGCCAGGTGGGGATTCAGAGATTTTAGGGAATTTGGGGAATTTTTGGGAATTTTGGGTGAAAATCTGGGATTTTTAGGAGAAAATTTAGGAATTTTAGGTGAAAATTTGGGAATTTTAGGTGAAAATTTGGGAATTTTGGGTGGTTTTTGGGGGATTTTGGGGGGTTTCAGATCGGTTTTGGGGCTGGGCTTCAGCAGCGTCCTGGTGCCAGGTGGGATTGGGGCAAAATTCGGGAATTTTGGGAAAATTTGGGAATTTTGGGTGAAAATTTGGGAATTTTGGGTGAAAATTTGGGATTTTTGGGTGGATTTTAGGGGTTTAAAATGGATTTTTTGGGGGTTTTTGGGTGGGCTTTGGGGCTGGGATTCAGCAGCGTCCTGGTGCCTCCTGCGGATTTTTGGGGAAATTCAGGAATTTTGGTGAAAATTTGGGATTTTTGAGGAAGATTTGGGAATTTTAGGTGAAAATTTGGGATTTTTGGGGGGATTTTGGGGCTTTTAATGGATTTTGGGGGCTTTCAGATCGGTTTGGGGCTGGGCTTCAGCAGCATCCTCGGGCCAGGTGGGGAATTTGGGAATTTTGGGGAAAATTTGGGCGGAAATTTAGGAATTTTGGTTGAAATTTTGCAAATTTTAGGTCAAATTTTGGGATTTTTGGGGGATTTTGGGGGTTTTAAATGGATCTTTGGGGATTTTTGGGATTTCCTGTCAGATTTTTGGGAATTCCTGGTGGATCTTTGGGAATTCCTGGTGGAGTTTTGGAAATTCCTGACAGATTTTTGGGAATTCCTGGCTGATTTTTAGGAATTCCTGGCATCTTCTTGGGAATACCCGAAAAATTTTTGGGAATTCCTGGTGGATTTTTGGGAATTCCCAATGGATTTTTGGACGATTTCTGGCAGATTTTTGGGAATTCCCGATGGATTTCTGGGGATTCCTGATAGAATTTTGGGAATTCCCGGTGGCTTTTTGGGAATTCCTGACGGAAATTCTGGGAATTCCTGAAGGAATTTTGGGAATTCCCGATGGATTTTTGATGATTTCTGGCAGATTTTTTGGGAATTTCTGGTGGATTTTTGGGAATTCCTGCCGGAATTTTGGGAATTCCCAAGGGAATTTTGTCAATTTTATGGGCAGAATTTTGGGAATTCCTGAGGGAATTTTGGAAATTCCTGATGGAATTTTGGGAATTCCTGAGGAAATTTTGGCAATTTCTGGGCAGAATTTTGGGAATTCCTGAGGGAATTTTGGCAATTTCTGGGCAGAATTTTGGGAATTCCTGCCGGAATTTTGGGAATTCCTGAGGGAATTTTGGCAATTTCTGGACAGAATTTTGGGAATTCCTGCTGGAATTTTGGGAATTCCCGCGGGAATTTTGGGATCCCCACCTCGGGGTCCCCGAATTCCCCCCATCCCCCCAAATTTTGGCATTCAGGGGCGGGGGAGCCGAATTTCGACGCTCTGGAGAACAACCCGTACCGCAGCCGCCGCCAGCGCCAGGAGTGGGAGGTGAAGGCGCTGCTGGAGAAGGTGAGAACCCCAAAATCACCCCAATTCACCCCAAAATCACACCAAAATCACACCAAAATTCCATCCCCAAATCCCCCAAATTCACCCCAAAATCATCCCAAAATCACCCCAAAATTCCATCCCCAAATCACCCCAAAATTCACGCCAAAACCCCATCCCCAAATCCCCCAAATTCACCCCAAAATCCCCCAAATTCACCCCAAAATCACCCCAAAATCACCCCAAAATTCCATCCCCAAAATCACCCCAAAATTTCATCCCCAAATTTACCCCAAAATTCCATCCCCAAATCCCCCAAATTCCCACTGATTTTTCCCCCTAAATTCCCGTGTATTTTTCCCAAATTCCCATGTATTTTTCCCAAATTCCTATGGATTTTCCCGAATTCCCGCGTATTTTTCCCAAATTCCCGTGTTTTTTTCCCCCAAATCCTGTGGTTTTTTCCCCCCTGAATTCCCATTTTTCCCAAATTCCCGTGGTTTTCCCCCAATAATTCCTGGTGTTTTTCCCCCCTAATTCCCATTTTTACCAAATTTCCATTATTTCTCCCTGTAATTCCTGTGGTTTTTCCCCCTTAATTCCCATTTTTCCCCAATTCCCATGTTTTTTTCTCCCCAAATTCCCGTGGTTTCTCCCCAACAATTCCCGTTTTTTTTCCCCTAAATTCCCTTTTTTTTTCCAAATTCCCGTGTATTTTCCCCAAATTCCCACTGATTTTCCCCGAATTCCCTTGTATTTCCTCCAAATTCCCGTGTTTTTTCCCAAATTCCCGCTGATTTTCCCTAAATTCACGCTGATTTTTCCCCAATTCCCGTGGTATTTTCCCAAATTCCCGGTTTTTTCCCCCCTAATTCCCATTTTCCCCCCAATAATTCCTGTGGGTTTTCCCGCTTAATTCCCATTTTCCCCAATTCCCGCTGATTTTTCCCAAATTCCCGTGGATTTTCCCCAATTCCCATATATTTCCCCCCAAATTCCCGTGTATTTTCCCCGAATTCCCGTGGATTTTCCCCAGATTCCCGTCTATTTTCCCCGAATTCCCGTTATTTCTCCCGAATTCCCGTTATTTTTCCCAAATTCCCGCTGATTTTTCCCCAAATTCCCGTGGGTTTTCCCAAATTCCTGTGGGTTTCCTCCATGTAACTCCCATGGTTTTTTCTCCCCAAATTCCCGTGGTTTCTCCCCAACAATTCCCATGTATTTTCCCAAATTGCCGCGTATTTTCCGAAAATTCCCATGTATTTTTCCCGAATTCCCATGGATTTTTCCCAAATCCCGGTGGTTTTCCTCCCTAAATTCCAGGGGATTTTTCCCAAATTCCTGTGGTTTTTTCCCCCAAATTCCCATGTTTTTTCCCAAATCCCGGTGTTTTTGCCCCCTAAATTCCCAATTTTCCCCAAATTCCCGCTGATTTTCCCCAGATTCCCGTCTATTTTCCCCGAATTCCCATGGATTTTTCCCGAATTCCCATGGATTTTCCCGAATTCCCTGTTTTTTCCCCAGATCCCGGCGGAGCTGCTGACCCCTGACCCGGCTCTGCTCGGCCGCGTCGACGGCGCCGCCCTGGAGCAGAAACGGAGCGACAGGATCCAGCGCCTGGTACCCCAAAATCACACAAATTACACCCAAAAATATCCCAAACTATCCCAAAATCCACCCAAAATATCCCAAATCCACCCAAAATATCCCAAAATGTCCCTAATCCCACCCAAAATGTCCCAAATTCCACCCAAAATGTCCCAAATCCACCAAAAATGTCCCAAATCCTGCCCAAAGTGTCCCAAATCCACCCAAATTCCACCCAAAATATCCCAAAATGTCCCAAATTCCACCAAAAACATCCCAAAGTATCCCAAATCCACCCAAAATATCCCCAAAATCCCACCCAAAATGTCCCAAATTGTCCCAAATTACACCCAAAATATCCCAAACTCCAACCCAAATATCCCAAATCCACCTAAAATGTCCCAAATCCCACCCAAAATGTCCCAAATTCCACCCAAAATCCCCCAAATTCCACCCAAAATGTCCCAAATCCACCCAAAATATACCAAAATATCCCAAATCCCACCTGAAATATCCCAAAAATCCCCAAAATCCACCCAAAATCCTGGATTTCCCTCCCAAAATCCCGAATTCCTCCAAATCCCAAATTCCCCCAAAATCCCGAACTCCCAAATCCTGAATTGCCCCAAAATCCCAAATTCCCAATTTCCAAATTTGCAAATTCCCCAATCCCAAATTCCCAAATCCCGAATTCCCCCAAATTTCAAATTCCCCAAATCCTGAATTTCCATCCCAGGGCTTTGACCCCAAATTTCCAGCCCAAATTCCCCCAAATCCTGAATTCCCAAATCCCAAATTACCAAATCCCAAATTCCCAAAATCCCTGAATTTCCATCCAAAATCCCGACATTTCTCCCCCAAATCCTGAAATACTCCAAAAATCCCCCCAAATCCCAAATGCCCCCAATCCCAAATTCCCCAAAATCCCGAATTGCCAAATTCCGATTTCCCAAATTCTGAATTCCCGTCCCAGGGCTTTGACCCCAATTCCCAGCTCAAATCTCCCCAAATCCCAAATCTCCCCAAATCCCGAATTCCCAAATCCCGAATTCCCAAATCCCGAATTCCCAAATCCGAGGGCTTTGATCCCGATTCCCAGTCCAACTCCCGAATTCCCCCAAATGCCAAATTCCCAAATCCCAAATTCCCAAAATCTCAAATCCCCAAATCCCAAATTCCCCAATCCCGAACTCCCAAATCCCCAAATCCCGAATTCCCCCAAAATCCCGAATTCCCCCAAAATCCCGAATTCCCCCAAATTCCCAAATCCCGAATTTCCATCCCAGGGCTTTGACCCTGGCTCCCAGCCCAAATCCCAAATCCCCCAAAATCCCGAATTCCCAAATCCTGAATTCCCAAATCCCAAATTTCCAAATTCCCGAATTCCATCCCAGGGCTTTGATCCCAGCTCCCAGCCCCAGTTCCAAATCCCGAATCCTGAATCCCCAAATCCTGAATTCCCAAATTCCCAAAATCTCAAATCCCCAAACCCCAGATTCCCTGAAATCCCAAAGCCTCCAAAATCCCAAATTTCCCCAAATCCTGAGTTCCCAAATCCCCAATTCCCAATTCCCAATTCCCAAATCCCAAATCCCGAATTCCCAAATCCCGAATTCCAGGGCTTCGATCCCGACTCCCAGCCCAAATTCCGGCCGCGGCGGCGCCTGAAGGGCCGGGATCCGGAGCGGCGCCGGCGGCAGCAGCGGCACCAGAGCCTGCGGGTCGGGAATTGTGGGATTTGTGGGAATTTATGGGAATTTTAGGGGGAATTTGGGGGGAATTAAATGGGAATTCTATGGGAATTTGGGGGGAATTTAATGGGAATTTTTGGGGATTTTTATAGGGAGATATTGGGAATTTTTAGGGCATTTTTTGGGATTTTTTTGGATTTTTTTGGCTTTTTCTGGGAATTTTGGCAGAAATTTATGGGAATTTTGAGGACATTCTGGGAGAATTTTATGGGATTTTTATGGGAATTTTGGGGGAATTTAATGAGAATTTTGGGTGGAATTCATGTGAATTTTATGGGACTTCTATGGGACTTTTATGGGAATTTTGGGGGATTTTTTGGGATTTTTTTTGGCTTTTTCTGGGAATATTGGCAGAAATTTATGGGAATTTTGGGGGAATTTTATGGGATTTTGGAGGGATTTTTATGGGGAGATATTGGGAATTTTGGGGGATTTTTTTGGAGTTTTTGGGGATTTTGGGGGGATTTTTATGGGGAGATACTGGGAATTTTTGGGGATTTTATGGGGATTTTATGGGAATTCAGGGAAAATTTGGAAGCAATTTATGGGAATTTCATGGGACTTTTGGGGGAATTTTGGGGGAATTGTGGGGGGATTTCATGGGAATTTTATGGGACTTTTATGGGGATTTTGGGGGAATTTTATGGGATTTTTATGAGAATTTTGGGGGGTTTTTTGGGGATTTTTATGGGGAGATATTGGGAATTTTGGGGGAATTTTGGGGATTTTTTTTGCTTTTTCTGGGAATTTTGGCAGAATTTTATGGAAATTTTGGGGAATTTTAATGGGAATTTTGAGGGCATTCTGGGGGAATTTTATGGGATTTTTATAAGAATTTTGGGGGAATTTAATGGGAATATTTGGGGATTTTTTGGGGATTTTTATGGGGACATATTGGGAATTTTGTGGAATTTTGGGGGATTTTTTTGCTTTTTCTGGAAACGTTGGCAGAAATTTATGGGAATTTTGGGGGAATTCTATGGGAATTTGGGGGAAATTTATGGGAATTTCATGGGAATTTGGAGGGGATTTCATGGGAATATTATGGCACTTTTATGGGGATTTTGGGGAAATTTTTTGGGAGTTTTTTAGGGATTTGGGGGGGATTTATATGGGGAGATATTGGGAATTTTGAGGGAATTTTTTGGGATGTTTTGGGATTTTTTTGGCTTTTTCTGGGAATTTTGGGGGAATTTTATGGGAATTTTTGGGGAATTTTTTTTATTTTTTTTTTTTTTTTTTGCTATTTCCGGGGAATTTTGGCAGAAATTTATGGGAATTTTGGGGGATTTTTTTGGAATTTTTGGGGATTTTTTGGGACTTTTTTAGCTTTTTCTGGGAATTTTGGCAGAAATTGATGGGAATTTTGGGGGAGTTTTATGGGAATTTTGGGGATTCTTTGGGGATTTTTTCGAACATTTTTGGGAATTTTCTGGGGCATTTTCAGGAATTTTTATGGGGAGTTATTGGGGATTTGGGGGATTTTTTGGAGATGTTTTGGGAATTTCATGGGAATTTTATGGGAATTTTTCTGGAGAGATATTGAGAATTTATGGGGATTTTTGGGGAACTTCTGGGGGGATTTTTTGGGAAATATTGGAAATTTTAGGGGGTTATTTTGGAATTTTATGGGAATTTTTATGGGGAGGTATTGGGAATTTTGGGGAGATTTTGGGGGGATTTTTTTTACCTTTTTGGGAATTTTGGGGTCCTAAACCCCTTTTTTTCCCCCCAAAAAAAAATTATTTTTACGGGGATCTGAATTTTTGGGAGGGGTTCCCAGGGAATTTCTGGGATTTTGGGAATTCCCAGAATTTCGGGAGGGATCCCAAATTCCCCATTTTCCCCCAGGCCCAGATCCAGAAGAGTTTGGAGCAGAAGGAGAAGGAGAAAAACGAGGAGGAGCCCCCCCGAAAAAAGAGGAAAATTCTCCAAAAATCCGGGAAAAAAATGGGGGAAAAAATGGGGGAAAAACTCCAAAAATCCAGGAAAAAAATGGGGGAAAATCCCCAAAAAATGGGAGAAAAAATGGGGGAAAAACTCAAAAAATCTGGGAAAAAAATGGGGCAAAAACTTCAAAAATCCGGGAAAAAAATGGGGGAAAATCCCCAAAAATCCGGGAAAAAAATGGGGAAAAATCCCCAAAAAATGGGAGAAAAAATGGAGGAAAAAACCCCAAAAAATCAGGAAAAAGGGGGAGGAGACGCCCCAAAAAAGGGGAAAAAATTGGCCAAAAATGGTCAAAAAACGGGGAAAAAGCCCCAAGGGGGGGGGAGGGGGCAGAAGGGGGGGGCTGGCCCCAAAATTGGGGGGGGAACCCCGAAATTGGGGGGAGCCCCCCCAAAAAAGGGGGCCCTGGACAGGTTCAAGAAATAAATTTGGGGGGCAGCGATTTCGGGCTCTGGAGTGGTTTTGTCCCCAATTTTGGGGGTCCCCCGGTGTCCCCTCCCCCCTATTTTTGGGGGTCCCCTCCCCAGTTTTGGGGTCCCCAAATTGTCCCCGTCCCAATTTTGGGGTCCCCTCCCCCATTTTGGCGTTTCCCCCCCAGTTTTGGGGTCCCCAAAGTGTCCCAGTTCCATTTTTGGGGGTCCCCAGTGTCCCCTCCCCAAATTTTGGGGTCCCCAATGTCTCCTCTTCCCCATTTTGGGGTCCCACTCCCCAATTTGGGAGTCCCCATTCCAATTCTGGGGGTCTCTGGTGTCCCCTCCCCCCAATTTTGGGGTCTGTCCTCAACTTTTGGGGTCCCCAAAGTATCCCTGTCCCATTTTTGGGGGTCCCCAAATGTCCCTCCCCCCATTTTGGGGTCCCACTCCCCATTTTTGGTGTCCCCTCACCGATTTTGGGGGTCCTCAGTGTCCCCTCCCCCCAATTTTGGAGTCCCCATCCAAATTTTGGGGTCCCCAAAGTGTCCCCGTCCCATTTTTGGGGGTCCCTCCCCCAATTTTGAGGTCACCAGTGTCCCCTTCCCCCAATTTTGGGGTCCCACTCCCCAGTTTTGGGCGTCCCCAATGTCCTCTCCCCCCAATTTTGGGGTCCCCTCCTCCCATTTTTGGGTCCCCTCCTCAATTTTGGGGTCCCCTCCCCCAATTTTGGGGTCCCCATCCCAATTCTGGGGTCCTTAAAGTGTCCCCATCTCAAATCTTGGGGTTTCTGATGTCCCCTCCCCCCCATTTTGGGGTCCCACTCCCCAGTTTTGGGGTCCCCTCCCCCCCAGGAGCCCCTCGGTGTCACCGGTGCTGGGACTTCACTGGGTGACACCATTGGGTGACATCATTGGGTGACACCATTGGGTGACACCATTGGGTGACATTGGGTGACACCATTGGGTGACACCATTGGGTGACATCATTGGGTGACACCATTGGGTGACACCATTGGGTGACATCATTGGGTGACACCATTGGGTGACATTGGGTGACACCATTGGGTGACACCATTGGGTGACATCGGGTGACACCATTGGGTGACACCATTGGGTGACACCATTGGGTGACATTGGGTGAAACCATTGGGTGACACCATTGGGTGACACCATTGGGTGACATTGGGTGACACCATTGGGTGACACCATTGGGTGACATTGGGTGACACCATTGGGTGACATTGGGTGACACTATTGGGTGACATCATTGGGTGACACCATTGGGTGACACCATTGGGTGACACCATTGGGTGACATTGGGTGACACCATTGGGTGACATTGGGTGACACCATTGGGTGACACCATTGGGTGACACCATTGGGTGACACCATTGGGTGACATTGGGTGAAACCATTGGGTGACACCATTGGGTGACATTGGGTGACATTGGGTGACACCATTGGGTGACACCATTGGGTGACATCATTGGGTGACACCATTGGGTGACACCATTGGGTGACATTGGGTGACACCATTGGGTGACACCATTGGGTGACACCATTGGGTGACATTGGGTGACACCATTGGGTGACACCATTGGGTGACACCATTGGGTGACATTGGGTGACACCATTGGGTGACACCATTGGGTGACACCATTGGGTGACATTGGGTGACACCATTGGGTGACACCATTGGGTGACACCATTGGGTGACACCATTGGGTGACATTGGGTGACACCATTGGGTGACACCATTGGGTGACATTGGGTGACACCATTGGGTGACATTGGGTGACACTGTTGGGTGACACCATTGGGTGACACCATTGGGTGACACCATTGGGTGACACCATTGGGTGACATTGGGTGACACCATTGGGTGACATTGGGTGACACCATTGGGTGACACCATTGGGTGACATTGGGTGACACCATTGGGTGACATTGGGTGACATTGGGTGACACCATTGGGTGACATTGGGTGACACCATTGGGTGACACCATTGGGTGACATTGGGTGACATTGGGTGACACCATTGGGTGACACCATTGGGTGACATTGGGTGACACCATTGGGTGACACCATTGGGTGACATTGGGTGACACCATTGGGTGACATTGGGTGACACCATTGGGTGACACCATTGGGTGACACCATTGGGTGACACCATTGGGTGACACCGTTGGGTGACACCATTGGGTGACATTGGATGACACCATTGGGTGACACCATTGGGTGACACCATTGGGTGACATTGGGTGACATCAGGTGACACCATTGGGTGACACCATTGGGTGACACCATTGGGTGACATTGGATGACACCATTGGGTGACACCATTGGGTGACACCATTGGGTGACATTGGGTGACACCATTGGGTGACACCATTGGGTGACACCATTGGGTGACATTGGGTGACATCAGGTGACACCATTGGGTGACACCATTGGGTGACATTGGGTGACACCATTGGGTGACACCATTGGGTGACACCATTGGGTGACATTGGGTGACACCATTGGGTGACATTGGGTGACACCATTGGGTGACACCATTGGGTGACACCATTGGGTGACATTGGGTGACATCAGGTGACACCATTGGGTGACACCATTGGGTGACACCATTGGGTGACATTGGATGACACCATTGGGTGACACCATTGGGTGACACCATTGGGTGACATTGGGTGACACCATTGGGTGACATTGGGTGACACCATTGGGTGACACCATTGGGTGACATCATTGGGTGACACCATTGGGTGACATTGGGTGACACCATTGGGTGACACCATTGGGTGACATCGGTGTCCCAGTTTGTCCCAGTTTGTCCCAGTTTGTCCCAGTCCCTCCCAGTTCACTGTTACCAATGGAAACTGTCCCGGCCCCATTAAAACCCAACCAATCAATCAATCAATCAATCAATCAATCAATGGGTGATCAATAATTCCAATCGGTGGCTCCGGGCCGGCCCCTCGGCCCCAAACGGAATTTGGGAATTTCCCGCCCAGGTTGGGGCTGCAGCTCCTCTCGGACCCCGCGGATGGACAGGAGTAACCAACAAACACACACAGAAAGGACTAACTAATTAATTAATTAACTAACTAACTAATTAATTAATTAATTAAGTAAGTAAGTAAGTAAATAAATAAATAAATAAATAAATAAATACCTAACTAACTAAATAAATAAATAAACCCTAAATAAATAAATAAATAAATGAATAAAAACCTAGCTAACTAAATTAATTAATTTTAAAAATTAACTAAATAACTAACTAAATAAAAACTGACTGAGTACATAAATAAAAAACTAATTAAATAAATAAATAAAAAACTGACTAACCAACTAACTGAAAACCTAACTAACTAAATAAAAAGCTAACTAACTAAAAAGCTAACTAACTAAATAAAAAAACCTAACGAACTAACTAAATAAATAAATGACTAAGTAAATAACTAACAAACTAGCTAAAAAACTAACTAACTAACTAAATAATAAATAAATAAAAGTGAACTAACTAAACTAACTACCTACCTACGTACCTAAATAACTAACAAACTAAATAAAAAACTAACTAAATAAATAAATAAACTAACTAAACTAACTAACTAAATAAATAAAAACTAACTAACTAAACTACCTACCTACCTACCTACCTAAATAATTAACACACTAACTAAATAAAAAACTAACTAACTAACTAAATATATAAAAAATTAACTAACTAAACAAGCTAACTAATGAAATAAATAAAAACTAACTAACTAAACAACCCACCTACCTAACTAAATAACTAATAAATACATAAATACCTAACTAAACTAACTAATTAACTAAACTAAATTACTAATCAACTAACTAAACAACTGAATAACTAACTAAATAATTACATAAATAACTAAACAAATAACTAAATAAACAAACAAACAATTACATAACAAACTAATTAACGAAATCACTAAATTAATAACTAATTATTTAGATCACTAACTAATTAACTCCCGTGCCAGCTCAGCTGTTTTTAATTCCACAGAACATTTCATTGGCACAGATCCGCATCGGGTGTGACACCGGTGACACCGGTGACATTGGGTGACATCGGGGCACAGCCAGCTCTGGGTGACACGGGGTGACATCGGGTGACATCGGGTGACAACAGTGACAACAGGGCACAGCAGCTCCGGGTGACACAGGGTGACACCGTGTGACATCGGGGCACCCGGCCAGGTCTGGGTGACATCAGGGCACAGCCAGCCCCGGGTGACATCCCTGTCACTGTGCCAGGTCCAGGTGACATCAGGTGACATTGGGGCACCCAGCCAGGTCCGGGTGACATCGGGTGACACCAGGTGACATTGGGGCACAGCCAGCCCCAGGTGACATCCCTGTCACTGTGCCTGATCCACGTGACATCAGGTGACATCCAGGTGACAGCCATGGCACCGTGCCAGGTCTGGGTGACTTCAGGTGACACCAGGTGACATTGGGTGACATCTGGTGACATCGGGGCACAGCCAGCTCCGGGTGACATCAGGTGACATCCGCGTCCCTGTGTCACACCCAGGTGACATCCGTGTCCCTGTGTCACAT